ACTCTGACGAATATCTGCGAAAAAGCGGCAACGATCAAGGTTATTGGTCGCTTGGTGGCGGCAGTTGTTGATTGGGGTATGAATGTTCGTATCATAGCTGCAGGTGGCCTTGAAATGATTTGTGATTTATTGAATTATGCGCCTACGCTGGATGTTGGTACCGAGTCCTTAGGCTCTATGAATATACGTACTTCGTGCGATCACGATGGGTGATGAGAAAGTGGTTGTGCATTTGGTGAGTCTATCAAAGCAAATGCCATTGACAAATATGAGGTTGGTAGACGAAATTTTGAAAGGTTTTCGTGATTTTGATGGAAAAATGCATGGTTGCTTTCGAACAGAGTAAAAGAAACGCCTGTAGTGAACGAAAATGTGTGTGATCATCATTGTAAAAAACGTGTGGAATAAAAAACGAAAAAGGGTTGAATGCGGGGTTCATGGTGAGTCGCAGATACTGACCCTGAAGAGTTTATGAAACGATTGATAAAGTTTATATATCTTTAAAGGGTTTGTTATACGTCGTAAATTCATACACGTTCTGGGTGTGAGTGTTCGTATGAATGAAGCCCTGAACAACACTCACACACACTTTCTCAAGACATTCCGTAGCAGAAATAAAAAGTTCTCTGAAATAGCGTTTTTTCGTTTTTATTTCATGTTTCAAGACTTGTACGCTCTTAGTTCATATTTTTCTGCAAACTTCACTCGGTTCCCATTCTTAGGTGCAAAAATTATAAGTGACATTCATACTAGAAACTCTTGCTTGAATGAAAATTATGTATAATCGATGAATACTATATGAATAAAATGTTAAAAATATGAATTTCTTAGAATTTATATTTATAAATAAACATAAATAATAAAAAGTAAAGAATATACCGTTCTATTGTATATGCAAATTGGCTAGTTTGTGTTGTAATGAAAAGACCAGAAAACATCGATGAGCTATTTTCGTCTTCTCTCACAATCTGCGTGATTCAAAGCACGTCATCATTATCCTTTAGTCGAGACAATTTCAAATCGTAATTTACTGTTAATCAATATCGTCGATCACAACAAATTTGAAAATTTTTCGTTTATTTGCATAGCTTCATTTTTTGTCCTCAGTCTTCAAGATCATAAGAGTTAACAATAAAATTTGTACTAGCGATATCTCTTTTGAATAAATTTAATTCTATATGAAATATAAGATCAATATGAGTATAATCATACATTTAGTTGTTCTAACCTATTTCAGTAATAACTAATAGAATGGAATATCACAATTTAGAAGGCGAGTGTGTTGATAATCCATTGAGTCAATTTTCTTAAGAAGCCATCTTCTATATAGTATTGTCTGTTTCAATGCGACTTAACTTTATTGTTTGATTATCCAGGTAGCGTATTAAGGTAAGTAATGTCAGTAACGAATTCGAGTACACGAAGTACTCGAATTTGTTGCTAACATTAGTATCTCTTGCTTTGAGAATATTAGTAAAGATGCTATCAAGTTTTTATATAAAGTCGATAGCTGTTGCTCACATTAAATTAATATATAAATTGATATTAAACTACATAAAATCAAAATCAATAGACAAGAAAGCGACTATTATTTACATAGGGTGTGGCTGTGGGTGTGAGTGTTCGTATGAATGAAGCCCTGAACAACACCCACACCCTCAAGTTCAGGGCCGACTCCTGTGGAGGCTGAAACCTTTGTGGCAGATGCAACTGAATCAAACACGTATAGATATATAAAAAAGGAAAAGGGAGAAAGAATGGTATCGTAGATAACATCCTTTCTCGAAAAGAGAACATGAAATGACGAGACACAGAAAGCTATGTGAACGAAGGGACAAGAAGAAATGCCTGTGAAACAAATGTGTTGCAGAGGAGGAAAGAAAAACTCGTCGCCACTAACAAAATCATCATGTTTTTAAGATAATGAGGTTCCTTGTGTAAAGGCAGATTGGATCCATGATATCGCGTTAAATTCACTTGAATGCACTTGATTAAATTTTGACATTGATTGTCAGAAAACTAAAAGGTCAAATATCAAAATCTCGTCAGATTATTCCAGGAATTGTTCATCTATTGTAAAAATAAATACGTTAATGTGACAAAATTTTGGTCTTGTATCTGATTCTGTGATCAATGAATTTTGCACTTTTCCCCTTATTATTCATTCAATTATTTTGATGCACGTAAGCAACGATACTTCTTAAGCATCAAATATAATACGACTCTGTCAATTTTAGTCACAGAGTAAACATAATTTACTGCGCATCCAATGTAAGTAAAAGGATATCTATTCTCACTCATCAGTTATTGTCACATGTCTCTTTTTGTTATCTGATAACTGAGCTCACAGGTAAGACTCTAACCGAGTGAAATTCGTTTTAATGCTAGAAATTAACAAATCTTTCTAGACAATGAACAAGTATACGATCGTTTTGCTGTGTTTTAACGCTCTCTTCATACTCGTCTCAGCGGATAACTCGACCTGTCCACAATTATCTACATTTCCTTCCTGGATGATAGGTTCTTTTTTGGTGCAATTCGGAGATGGTTCGATAGGAAATAAGACTGTTGGATTATGGTATGCAAATATAACACTTCCAAATGGTACACGTGGTGGTCTAACCATGACAGCACCTCTGAATAAAGGTGACCATTTCTTCATCAACCACGATTGTCTTCAAATGCAGGATGCAGCGCCTCAACAACGCTGCTCGCTTATAGTACCTAATTGTAATGGCTATAAACAATACGTTTACAAAGCACCAGAACTCGTTGCGAAATGTCCTGAATCAACCACATCGCCTGGTGTTGAAGAACAAAGCACTGAAAGATCAGGCTAGATTGATATATCTACATTTTTTTTTATCAATCATTGCTTTCATTGTTGCGAATAAAGAGTACAACTACCCAGTGATGTCTGATTATTGTGGATGTTCCTTCGATAACATATTACTACATTTAAATTCATATTAGTCTTTAAGGGAGCACGATAACTAAATCCAACGATACTTAAGAGAGCGTCCATGAGAAAATCGAGTATGGGTCCATGTATCTAAGCACTTGTCAATTTTTTTTATTTGATTTGATATTTTCATCGTGTTTAGCATCATTGAAAACTTCCAGATCTAAATTTTTAGCCTCTAAGTTCAATCCATAGAAAAAATGATATGATTAGTATTATGAGGTACTTTTGACCTTTTTTTGAAAATATCGTCAATCGACACGTATACAATTATGATCACGGCAAAGAAGTAAATGAGCACTAAACAATTTAATGTCATATACCATTCGATAGCTCATTGAAAGCTGAACAAATCCACACATCAACAATCTTCATTTTTATAAACTCAAAAAATTTCCGAACCAAATACTTTCCGAGAGTCATGATTTTTTTTGCAAAAAAAAAGGCTTGTCGTCAACATTGGATTTATGATTGCTCAGCTATGGCGCGTGAACCCAGAATGAATTTCTCACAGAAGAGACAGTTTGTGATGCTCTACAAAATGGCATAATCAGGATTCAGCAAAAGGTTTCTAATCGATGCACAAGGAGGTTGACTTTCTTAGCCACTCGACCGGTCTCCAATACAGAAAGCACTTGCTTTTTTAGTTTTTTTTTGCACCAAAAATGAAGCTTTAGTAAAATAAAGATGGTTCTAAAATGTGAATCAGCGAGACTAAGGCGGATCATGATCTCATGCGTATATCTAGAACTAAAAACTTCGTGTTTTTTTATTCTTATCTGCATAAAATGCTACGTTTTCTATGATGTCATGTCATGAGAGAAGAATGAGTATTTTTCGATGCGCCAACTAGTGTCCTCTCGTGCAAGAATCATTGATTTGTAGATGATGGACAGACAGTTATAGTGTTTGACGGTTTAAATTTTAAAAATACAAGCATCAAAAGTGCTCGATTTTTACTTGAAATATTATTTGGAAAACATCCATCTTATTCGCCAACTATTCGATAATTCGAACTGTTATAAAAATAATTTATCAATTTACAGCTAAGCGCGTTAGGTTTTGTTTTAAATTTATGCAGGAACAGAACTGTGATCCTAAGATCCTATCAGTACATATAAGTAAAGTAAGGAAGAAGAGACAAAATAAGAACAACAGAAAAAATGAAAATCATAAAAGCAAGTTGTATGAGTAAAAAGTTAGGCCTACACAGAAAAAAGATCATATAGAATCAAAAGATTCTGGAAAATCCTCGAGGGGTTGGACTTCATCAATTTTATAAACAGGTACGGATGAACGAGAAGGAATAGAAGCCATCCACCCAACAATTTTTTCTATAATTGCGCGTTAGTTTTTCTGAAGATGAGTACTGCTCAATGTATTTTTGCTGAGTCGTGTGATGAAGTCAATTGCTCGGTGACTACGCCATGGTTGCGTCTATCGGAATTATCCGAGGAGAAAATAAAATAAAAATGTTTTCCCGGAGCTACGAACGTCTTAGAAGTTCTTCTTCTGAAAGCTGAGTCGTTTTTTCAACATCGAGTTGTGATGCACATCATAAATTTCTTTTTCGAAGATCGTATTTCTCTAATATGAAAAGTAAATGTGATACTTGTTTCGAAGTAAGAGGGGTAAATTCCTGCGCCAAGGTTGACTAGCGATATATAACTGTGACACATTCCATAACGCTACTAGAATCATTTCGCATGCGTCATACATACGGAAAATTGATTTTTCGTAATTGTCGTGAAAAGGGTGAGGGTGATTTAAAGCAACCACAACACAACTGGTAGAAAACTTTTTCATTTTCGCTTACAAAAATTGTTAAGTGACTGTAACGTAGTACGAATGATGCTTGAATCAATCAGTACAATCATTAAAATATAAGATATCTATTATGATCTAATAGATATCTCATAAGCAACCAAAAAACAAGTATAAAATAGAAGCGGTTTTTGTAACGAGACAGTGATAAGTTGGTTTATAATGGATCGTGTTTAGCTCTTCATGAAGAATTTATTGATGATGAGGTGACAAGATGATTCCAAGCTACTTACGACGATCGTTTCGACCTTGCTTAAGGGCCATCATTTACTTAGAAGATCGTCAAACCACGACAACGTTTGTTTCTGTCCATAGCAGGACTTCATCAGGTGATAGCTTATTATTATATCTACTAGATAGTAACCCTGAATTGCCTACAGTATTTCGTCGATTACCATATGCTTTCATCGATACCACTTTCTCCACTATTTGCCAGTCAGACAGCTGGCCTGACAATTTTTGGGTTTCTACTGAATTTCAACGTGTAATTGCAACTAAAGAAAAATCATTGAATCCATTTCTACGTCCTCCACGATGGATTATCATTTATCGCAATCAGCATCTAATTTTTCTCTCTGCTCAAGAAGCCAATCATTTGATTGATCGTATAAAACATCTATGTTACATTCAAAAATCCGACGAACCACCTGTCACCACAGCACGCCTGATTTTGCCTCGGATTAGACGAGGTCAATCGATTTTAGTAAATAATACAATGTTAACGACTTCTTCGTTAAATAAATTTCCCAGTCTTGATAATAGTTGGCTCAATTATTTGTCTTTAACGGTACTCTGTATTTTGAAAATGTTGAAGAACAAAGAGCCTATTGCCAGTTGTTAAGCTTATGTCCAAAACCTCGAACAGAAGAAGAAGAAAAAGCATTTTGAAAAAGGTTGGATTGATATGAATGGGTTTGTCAGTAATCCAAAGCATCGTCGTCAATTACAAATGAATCAAGGTCAATTCAATGCGAATCCAATAAGATTCGTCAAACAATTGATTAAAAATCGAAATAAATCCCACGCATCTATTCTATCATATGTTGGGAGTATTATTCTTAATTCACGCAAACTTAGCTTCAATTGACTACAATCCATGTTTTATTTACATACTAGAACACGTTTTGGGTGTGGGATGTGAATATGGGTGGGTCCTTTACTGTCTCACACCCACACCCAAGCCACCACATCCTACTCGGACATTAGCAAAGATTTCTGTTAATGCAAATGTTTGAGAAGTTGATGCCACTTTGTTGAAAGATACTTTTTTTTATTCACAAATAAAGACAGGTGTTAAATTTTCTTCTTGATCAACTTGCGCACAATATTCTGATGTAAACAGTGATATTGTCGAGTCAAGAAAGAAATAATGCTTAAAGGGTGGCCATAGTCTATGGTTTTAAATGAAAGAATGAAATTATTTCTATATTATAAGAATTTCAAAAGGGTAGAGGTGGATGAAGATGTCTTTAACAACAATATAATCACAGCCATATTCATCCAAAGTCGCTCATCCATCAGTTTTCAAGCACAGATGTTTTATTTATTTTCTTTGTTTTATATTATAATTTATTTGATTATTCAACAAAAATATTTATAAAAAGTAAGTTTGAATATTTTTGCGAGTTGAATCTCACGGATTACTCACATTTGATTTGTATTACGTCTCATTGATATCGAGTTCAAAACAGTATAAATAAATGGATGTATACTCGAGTGTGTTTTATTCTATTGCAAATTATTTCTTAAATTATGATATCAATATAAGTCTTGATAAAGTATTAGAGTGCCAAGTGATGCGACAGAAAATAGCATCACTGTAAAAAAAACAGTACAATATTTACAAGAGGGTTTTGTAATGTCATTAACCCTTTCTCAAATTTTCATATATCCTTTTTGAATATATCTTAGTTCCATAAACCATTTTTAGGGTACACGACAATTTCATAAACCCTCCTACATTCAAAGGGTTTATTATTTTTTGAGCAAAGGAGGGTTTATGACACTCAAAAGCCGTTTTTGTAGAGTTTAATATTGTACTGTTTTTCATTACAGTGTAGATAGAGTTTATTTATTTTTCAATATAAATAGTTGTCTATTTCGTCTTACAATGAATAAACTCTAAATTTTGTACTGAGATAAAACTTTGAGAATACAGAAAAATGGTGAAGCAGAAAACGTATTGTACGGTAAAAACAGACCTGAAGCGTAAAGCTTCTTACATATACTCATTTGTCTTGATCTTAGATGAGGTAAAGGAAACTGAATTATTGAAATAGATGTCATCAAATAAACGTCAACAAAGTGTTAATTAAAAAACCAAATAAGGAAGAACTACTGTTAGACTTAACAAGCGACAGAAACACTCGTGCTATTCTATAAACAAATCTTCACTTAGACCTTAACAGTAGATGCTCGACGAAGATGAAACATGATATAAATGCAATATCATTTACTTTAGTTTCGATGTTTAATGCAAGCAAAAAGTGCATTTTATCACACGCTCAATTTCTTAGAAACAAAGGAAACAATGTTTTCAAATAAGCATTTTGTTTATGTTATCAAAAAACAATGCACAGAAAAGGTACGATAAAAATGATCAATGCAATCACTCCGAATTTGCTTTTGTTGTAAAAATCATTGTTCGTTTTTTTCCCATTGTTAATATACACGATGCTTATCTTCAATGAGTTTTTTATAGATACTTTAGAAATTTAAAGCTTTGAATTGTTTCATTCATTGGTGGTATTGCTGCCTTTGTATTCTTAATTTGATAAAGAATAATGGAAAGACTTTGTAAGCGTTGGGAATATCAGAATGACTTACCGACGATTTCCAGATAAATTACATTACAAACATCCGATCTTTTCCATTCGAATTTCCCGACGTTATTGCACCCATAGTAACGCCCTTTTTATTCCGATCTTCTAATCTTTCGACGGTGTCTAGTTTAGTTTTTGTTTTCAAGTTTCTTGAATCTATTAAAAACAGTTTGTTTTAAAAATCATACTTTTTTTAGTTCAGTGAACAAGCCGAATCTGTGTACAACAGTAAATGTACCGGTTTGTAAACCTGGCAAAGGTTCACTTTTATTTCTGGACCGATCGTCCGCTATCATACTCTGCAAATCGCTTTTGACTTCTTGATACAAATTCTTTAGTATTGTTAAATGTTCATCATCTAAGTCACATCGGTCTAATTGTTTATGCAGATTGTCTAATTTTTCTTTAACAGCTGTTATTTCTTTTTTGCTGAATAACTTAGATTCCTGATATAGTTTCATTATTGCCATCAATTGTTCTTTAGCTGAAACGTACTGATGCAGTGCTACATAAAGATCAGCTAATTCGACATGACTCGCAACTATCTCCGACATATAGTCTTTTGGTTTTGATGCATTGATTTTCAATGTACAATCGTGTTTCATTAACTGGTATTCAAGTGCTGAGTTATACGCATCTTTATGTTTACAATAGATTCGAATTATTTTCTCACAAGTAGCTTTAATCCAACATAAATTTGGTTCGAACTGTTTCATATAAACTTTAATCGCTTCTTCATAATTAGTTAATGCATCGTCATACTTATATATCGCTTGTTGAAAATTAGCTAATTCTTCTCTCCGATTGGCAATACCGCAATAATCAGATGAACGATGTACTAACAACTTTTCAATACTTAGTTGCACGTGATGTATGACTAGTGAACAATTATGTATTTGTTCCTTCTCGTCATTGCTGATTTCCATCTTGCTTTTGTACACATCACTTAACAGATCGAATATCTCTATCTTTTCATAATCCGTCGCAGTATGTTCAATCGCTGCTTCAAAATACTCAATAGCTAGATCATAATGTTTTGTAGCCGCATTTTTATCATCTAATTCATCTGGATAACAGTCACCAATACCTTTGTAAATTTTACCAACATCGACGTAGCAATTTAATTCTGCATCATTGATGTATTCAAACCACATTGTCAATACTTCAGAACGAGTTGATAACACTGAAGCGTAGATTTCTTCTATATGTTTTTCAGGATAGCGACCAAGATAATAATCTTTCATATCAAAAAGCCATTTTTCTAATGGATATAAATTAATCAATTCATTGAATATTGTAATTCTGACGTCAGATGACTGCTTGTAAAGAACGTCTTCAAATATACTAACACAGTTTTTCAGCGTTTTTCTCTTGCTTACACTTTTAAATTCTCGATCATCTTTTACATGATCATCATTTGCTAAATTCAGTTTAACTATCCAAATTTTTTTATCGTCATCGTATTTAACATCATCGGGTTCGATCTCAAAATATGTTGTGATCATAAATAATATTTCAGATTCATCTGGAAAGTTGCTCAAAGCAGTAATATCAGCGTAAGAACGAGATTTTAGGCGAGCATCAATTTCAATTTCAAATAAAACACACTGAATCTCATCGTCAGGTTGTGATTGATTTGTAAACAATAACGCTAAATCACGATTAGTGGTCGCTGAGAAGAAACTATTGTTTACAATTGATGATGCCGTATCATAGTCACATTCTTTAATCTTGTTGATTTCGTCGCGACTTATAAATTGTCCTCGGTATACAATTAATGGTCCATCTAAATTCTGAATGGATCGTTTATGTTTCAATTGTTGATATATATCCTGTATAAAGAATCCGAATAAAAACAGTACTTCAATATTCTGTTGCCGTAAGGCACGATTTAATAAACGATGAACAAAATTGTCACGTGTATACCACCAAATAGCTTTGTCCGATCTATAGTCTTGTTCAAAATTTTTCAGAACTGCTAGTTCTGCTGCTTTACCATTATAATACTCTCTTAATGTTTCAATAAATTTACGTCGACAATCTTCTGGATATGGTAAATAACACAAGATGTCAACGATATCTACCAATAAACTCATAAATCCATCGGTAGTATTTTCTTGTCGGATTTTTCCAAAAATCGTCTCGTTATCATGGTTTAAATATTTATCAACATCATCCTTTAGCTCGTTTAATAATTGTTCAATGTTTGAATATACTTGCTTAATCTATATGAAAATTGAAGAACAAATGCGTTGGGGATGATGGTGAGGTATATAAGTTCTGGGAGAACGATAACAAACAAGTACATTCGAAAATTAGACAGCGTTATCCTCTCGCAATTAATCACTACGCATAATCTTTGTACGAAAATTTCTTTCTATCATGCATCATCTTGAAAGTGTTTTTTTTATGATACTTTCCCATCTCTCAGCAAAATAAGCAAAATAACTGTGTAACCTCATAAAGGAGATCTATGGTGCACATCCAATCAAACTAAATGTGTCGTTTCACTAACATCAGTGAACGATGCTTCTTACCTTTGAATAGTTTGAGATCCATTCTTGTTGATAATTGTTGGTCGTATTATAAATATAAATCGAATAGACGTTCTTGAGATTGTAAACGTTAGATACCAACTGTTCACCTAGGTCGTCAGATGTGATTATAAATGTAGTCGTGACCTTAGTTTGTTCAATAAACTGCTGACATTGTTCAACATTGTTAAATAGTTTTGTATAATCAACAATTTTTCTTAAGTTTTCGAGCGAAGCTAACGCATCACTTTCTTGGTTTCTATCGACCGTTGGATCTAACCATACTAACTGATGTGATTCAAGATTGATTTTTTCACGATCAAAAATGTGACGTTGCTGCATGGCATTGTATGTAGCAATGTTCTGATAGTCTTCTTGTACCGATGGTATTGTGGATGTTGTTGTGGTTATTGCTGTTACGAATGACGATGATAAAGATGTGTTTGCCTTAGACTCCATTTCCATTATTGGCATAGACGACTGTTGCGAATTGGTATTTATGAGTTTGTGGTGTATTTCGTCTTCTGAATCAAAGCATTTCGCTGATTTCATTATCATACGTAATTTTAGCTTTTCTGCAGCACTTGCAATTGATAGGCAACAAAATAAACTAAAAATCGTAAACAACGCAGCTTCATATATTCTAGTCATTTTTTTGTACTCATCATTCTCTTCCTTCCCTCCCATCGCAGAAATTCATAGCAAAGCTTTAGTGTCAGTTTCCAGGAAAAATAAAACAAAACAAAACAAAATCAGTACTATTTTATTGATATCTCCATGGCTCACTTTACATGCTCACATATCATGAAATTATATCAAATTCGATCCAGGAATTACCCCGTATCTGTTAAATTAATGATTGGTCTCTGGCTAGTACTTAATTTGTCACTGGTAGTGTTTTCTCAACGATGTCTACTTCATTAGACCATTAAGCAAAACTTACAAAAATAATAAAAAAGGATGCACTTACATATATACTATACAAAAACAAAACACGCTGTGTATCTTTCTTTGCAATGCCTTCGTTTTTACGCATATATATATAACGATGGTTAGAATTCGAATGAGTAATCTCATCCACAATCTCTATTGCCGTCTTGTTCTATACTACTCTTATCTGCATACACGAAGAAAGAGAATCGTAAAGAAAAATACATTATGCACCTTTTCTTGGGTGTCGGTGTGGGTGTGGAGTGTATGTATCTGGCTTACAATTGAACGGTCTCTACTCATGAGCAAATCGAACGACCGCGTAGGGTGCAAATGATCACACTCATTAAGAAACTAACAAATTTAAAATATGAGCTGCTGATGGCTCACTTTGACAGAGATATTCAATTTTTAAGTTTCACATTAATTGAGTGCAGAAACATGATAATACATGAAATATTTATATTAGCTTTTAAGATAATCATCAGATTTGTTAGGAAGAACGTTCCCAAGAACGANATCTGCCCGGATAGCGGAAGGTATGGGTTCGATTCCCATGAAGGTCATCTTTTTCATCGTTCTGTCACATAACATCAGTGACACTGCTTGTCTCTTTCGTTCTATACATATTAGAGCCTAACAAGCTCTATATCTGTAAAATATTTCAGATATGAACCCGAACCGGATTTACCCTGAAGTGACTTAGGATAGAAATGACCATAAGAGGTAAAAATCAAGTAAAACTTATTAGAACGAAATTTTCATAATTACCGTGACATTTCATATCGAGTTCAATATTAATTGATGAGACATGCTATTAGACTTGTATTCGTAAGCTTTGTAATTATAATGGCTTTCAAAGCATGATTGAATAGATTTTTGAGACTGTATTTTTATATACTGGGGATATAAATTCATTTTGGATCTCTTCTTTATACAATTGGTATTAAAACGTGGCCTCTTCAGTAAATGTTTGAATGGATGAAAAAAAGACAAATTTCATCACATCTCAATCTAAGAAAAGTGAAGTTGAAAATTTTCTGAAAGTTTCTCAACTTTCAAGATCGTAATTTCAGAGTTTAAGGTTAAACAGATTTATCGTCTTCATTCAGGAATAGTAAAAAATAATATTTCGATATTCGTGAGTTATGCAATTTCAATAATAATAATTACGATACATTTGACAAACAATTGAGAATTACATATATATTGTCAAAAATATATATTTTACCCACTTCAAAACAGGGTGTGGGTGTAGGTGGCGATGTACTTGTGGATTAATAACTAACACCCACACCCACACCCTGCTGTGCATATCGAGACATCATTCGAAAGATAAAAGTGCATAGAATCATATGCCATCAATATCTCAACTGGTTTAATGCAAAAGTTTTGAAATAATGGTCCGAAACCTCAAGCACCCTATCAAGATCCTCAAGATTTCCATATCTTTTTTCTCTTATCGCAAGAATTTTCATTCGAACAGCAAAGTTATAGAGACAACAGTTTCCTATCCAAATACATCCTTAACAAAAATTTTCAATCATTTTTCACTGAACAGCACAAAAGACTTTTTTTTTAATGTACCCACTTGGCCTTTGTCAGCTTAAGGTTTTTCGGGGTTATTCGAACGTAGACTTATAGAGAATGGAAAGTTGGGGGAACGAATTGGGAAATCCTCAGAAAGCTGCTGGCATTGAGGAGTTATGGGCTGTTTATTATTGTATTTATCAGGCTCTGTTAGGTAGGATTCCGTAATATTTTGATTGTTCTTTAACAGTGTTGGCGTTTTGCTGCGACTTTCTTCGATAGAATCGATGCAGTATGTTTTTGGCGTATGTGGTAGAATATTCTAGTCACAATATTTTTGTGTTTGGTTTAATTTATGGACGGTTTATGGTTATTTTTGCTTGTGTGTATTGAGTGCTCTGGTGATTATTGATATGTTTCCAGATAAATCGGATGGGAAATTCAGTTGGGTCGTTGAGTATGACAATGTGGCATCGTTTGTTGGTTGCTTTATCGTGGATTGAGTGTAATATAGCGTGTTATTCTGGTATGAGCGCAGTACAACACCTAAACTGTAATTTATTTCAGCAAAATCGAAATATCTGGTATTGTGGTAGCTATACATACCCACACCCTTCACGAGTGTTCCGACGTGCCTGTTATGAAAGAGGTTTGTCGACTGGGTTTGTCTGGGGTTGAACGGATGATGGTTTTCCAGGTTTTTGGTAGGTTTTCTGCGAAGTTGTGTTTTATATGGGGACGCTTTGAATGGTTATAGAAAAGAGGACGCTACTTGATGTTGACGCTGTTGTGGCGCTAGGGTGCTTCTTTTCTGTGGTTGGTTTATTTCTTTGACGCTTTGTGTCATTGTGTCTTTGTGTCCGGTAGCATATATAAAGGGTTGTGAATGAATTCTGTACATTCATTACACACTGTTTCTCATACAAATTCAAACATTCAATTACACGTTCGGTATATCATATACCGAAATATCATTAGAAATGGCATCAAATACAACTGATCATACTCAATCAATTATGGAAGCTGAGTCTTCATCTGACTCTGATTCAGGTACGAATAGTTTTTGTTTAGATTTTCATATTTGTATATTGAATTTTATGATTTTAGATTTTTTCTTGGACCCGGATTACGTTGCAGCTTCCACTGCAAACGGTTACAATACATCAAATGATACTAGTTATAGTAGCAGTGTTACTACCACTACTATTACTAGTGAAATCAGCACGCCTAGTCGACCATATCCGCCAACTGAACGCCATGGCCTTGTGGATGAACACGATAAACCATTTCTTGAATTTGGTGAATTAGGTAAGTGATATTAAATCTGTCGTATTCAGATTTTCATGTGTTCCTGCTTCTGAATTATTTTAGGTGCAAAGGCTATTGCCTCACTTAAAGAATTTCGTTTGCCTGCGGAGTACATTCCATTTTGCGAATCTGATCCAACTATTCGCGTATCTCGAAAGAACAATCGATTGTATAGCAGAAAGCTGGCTATCTCGAGTTTCTCTGATTGAACAAGTAAGATCCTTAACAACTAATTTTGTTTCTATATGAGTTTATATAATAACTTTTCTTTTAAATTGTTTTTATTTAGAGGAAGAAACTTACAAGCACGTACTTCAGCATCTCGAGGTGAAGAAAATACCTGTCCGCTACGTATGCGTGGCAAGAGAAATTGTTACAAAGGACACTATGCCTCGCATACATATTCAAGTCGTATTTCATGGCAAGCCAGCTGTTAATGCACAATTCATGGATAGATTTCTGAGTAAGTATTTTAGTTTTATATTATATCTACTTAGTCAAGATAGCTTTACTTTGACGCATTGTTTTCTTCTTTCATTTAGATTGTCAATGTGAATATCATGTGACAAAACATGCAAACGCATGGAACGAATATATGAAACAAGGTTTGATTAACATCCGTTATATAGTTCATATCTAAACACATTCTAAAATTAAACACAAAAATGTAAACCATTATTTTTTATTTACTTAGGATTCAGTTGTATTGAACATGGACTTTACAAGGGATCCGATAAAAAGGGCTTCAAGTTGTGGCCAAATTCACCAACAACAAGTAAGAATGTAACTACCTTTTACATACGATCATACTTTTTAATTATTTTGATAGAAAAAGGCGCCTGTCTTACGGATGATATTGCGGCAGAAGCTTTCAAATTAAGCAAGAAAAGCGTTCCTGTTGCATTAAAAATGCTCGTTGAGAAAGTACCGCGTGAAAGTTTAACTCGTTTAAGAGGGTAAGTACATATGTATATAAAAACACAAATTGTTACCAATTTGCTAAAATATATATGTACTCATATATATCAAGTTTAATGTTAATTTGATTTATTTTTCTCTATGTACGAAAAGAATGCGGACAAATCTTGAAATATACTACGATCAAAATAAAGTCGAAGAACTAAGAAGTATTGCCCGAGTCAAAAATTACTGTTGGCCAGATTCATTCCCGGATGTCACACCCAACCTGGGTAAGAAATATTATTTCTCTTGTTTTTCTTATACTTTCTACTTTTCCTCTACTCTTATAAAACATAATAGCTAATGACATGAATAAATATTTGGTGAAGGAGTTTACTAGAAAGCCACCTCACCGACCTCAATGTCTTATTTTAATAGGCAAAACAGGTACAAGTATGTAGAACTAGTTAAAGAAATGCACACTCTAACGCACGACACTTTATTCATTCATTAAAAATTTGTTTCATATTTTCAGGAAAAACAAGCTTTGCACTTAGTTTACCTGGCATCCCCAACTATTATCGTGGTGTATGGTCAATCTTTTACTGGGATAATGATGCATCATGTATGATTTTTGATGACATACCATGGCGTTCATTTGACAAAAAAGGGTATCCATCGAAAAAGGATCTATTAACAGGTCAATTAGAAGTTTGCATAAGTAAACAGATTCTTAACAAATATTATAACATGTTTCTTCGTATCTTTCTATATATCTTAATACACATTAGGTCAGTGATAAATACTGCAAGAATAGGAAAATTGTAGTGAATAAGCCTGCTATAGTTTTTCTTAATCACGCCGACGCTCAACCATTACTCAATCCGCGTACAAAGGGAGAAAGAGATGATTTTGAGTTTTGGCAAGAACGTGCTATTATATGCGTATTAGGTAATATGACTTTCTGAAAAAACTTATATAATTTACAAGAAAACTAATTTTTTTATTCTTTTCAGTATACCATTTAGAACCAAGCGAGCACTTTTACAACCCAAAACCCAAAACTCCTTCACCAGAAAATAAAATCCACACTGTGGACGGTATACCATTATTCGATGAATTCAGACGTGTGTGGCGTGAGAGACAACAACAACAAACCGTACCGCCCGCACCCGCACCACCACCACCACCACCAACATCCATCATCGTGCAACCACAACCTGAGAACCAGCTTCGCAGACAAAGTGTTTCATCTGAAGAATATCCATACGAACTTTGAATATAATCATAATTTAGATAATTTGTACATATATCACTGTAGTAAAAATTTCTGTATTTCTTCGAATAAAAATCAGCTAACGCGTTACTTGTACTCATACTAAAAATTTCTACAAACAAAAAAACATCAAAGGATTCTGAGAAAAAAGACAAACGCAAAGAGATAATTATCTCATGTGGTAGACTTGAAACTGCTACGAAACAGAAATAACAACAATTTTTACCAGCGCTTTAGCAGCAACTCAAGCCATCATTAATTCCTATTTATTTATACGATTCTCTTGTTTCAATTACAGGATTTTCACCTGAAAAATATGTGATGATATAAACCCAAGCAGATGTAAAGATGTCGTCCTATGGCGATGCGGAGATAGAGAGACACGGAGGCATCGAGACGTCGTCTTCCGCTGATGTGCATATGAAGCGACACGAATGCATAAACCAGTGAAGATGTCGTGGTATGCCGATGTGGAGACGTGGAGATGTGGAGTTGTGGAGATGTGGAGATGATGAAATCATGTGGAGATGTGGAACCACGAGCATATGGAACCAGGCAGATGTGAAAACACGAACATATGGAACCAGACAGATGCAGAACCAAGCAAAGGTGGAATCAGGCAGGTATGGAGCCACGTGGATGAGGCAGTGTAGAGATGTCGTGATACGTTGGTATGGAGATGTAGGGTGATGGGTAGATGCGGGTATAGACACGTCTTGATACCGTGGTATGGAGTTTTCCATTGTACTAGGTATGTGCAAATGGGAATCGGAACCTATAATGGTTCGAATGTAACGATTTCTGATGTTATGGATGTTGTTATGTTTGGTGCTGAGTGTATATTTTATCTCAATATCAAAAAATCGTATACTCCTGGATTTCTCTCGTTCCTTATATACTATTTTCTAGCATTTAAAGACCTTGAGAAATACTGTAAACGCAATAACAGAAAAAGCAAGAAAGTGTATAAGATAAGGAGTACGTATTGGTGCTATGCTAAAGTCCACCAACCCGATGGTGGGGATAAATATTACAACGGTGATGTTGCGTACTCAATCTGGCACTAAGCGCGAGCCAAGGACAAAATCCCTAGTACTCTTGCGTAGCGAAAAATAGAAAGAGAAATAGATAAGAGTATGGATGAGAAACTAACAAGATGGTGCCTTTGAGGTTTATTTCATTCGAGGGTTTGTAACTTCTAGAGTAGATCGTTACACTTCCGGGTGAAACTTAGACGCTCTCCTGAGCGTCTGTGGGAGAAGAGGAGAACTAAGACTAATTGGAAAGGGTTCGGACGGAAAGCATATGTTAGGTAACGATCGAGGCATTAAGTGGGTGATCTTGAAAATGAACGGTGGGCAGTGGTGAACGGCGAGAGAAGTGACAGTAGATGAAGACAAGGAGTAGAAATAAAGTTAGAATGAGAAGTATCGTTGAGAAAATGCCAAACAGATGACGGTGTATGTCTCGTAGTGCAGGCATGGGAATAGAGGTTGAAGTGTTAGAAATAAAGCTGTAGATGGCGCGAAATTCGTCAGCGATATAGGGTATTTTAGGCCAACGGGATGAGGGTGTGAGATGGGCATTAAGATCGAAGTCACTTTGGTATGAGTTGTTCAGAATGGTTGAGTCCCAAATTGTCAGGGGTTGACCAATCACCTCTGGAGACGCTGAAATTGAAAAGCGGTCGCAGATAAGCGTGGTTTTCTGTGGAATGGTTATCAGAGTTACTGCGGGTATCATGCGCATTTGGTTATGGAGAACATGCGGGGGGGGGGGGGGGGGGGGNTAGAAACTATCTACAGTATCATAATAATAATTCAGAAGATCGAGAATTGACTATTCATTTTTTTCGTAGCTCTATCACTCATACTAGGTAGAGTGATACTCTTTTTGTTCAACAGATGACATTAGAAGGTGAAGTTAACAAAATACAAAGAATAAATATGATCAAAAAACAAATGTGGTATAACAATATGGCAAGTTATGCCTAAATTTTCTTTACAAATGCATCCTAATTAGACCAATTTTTAATCTATTCAGAAACAACCACATCAGGAAATTCATATATTGTCACGGCACCAAAAGATAAATTAATTCCATGCAAATATGGATATGAATGTCGCGATATTCGAGATCCACAACACACATCAAGATTTTCACATCCTTCAACTTAAGTGCATCCATTTCAATGGTAAATATGTATGTACAAAGAACCTTTTAAAAAACAAAACAAAATGTTCTTATTGTTTTTTTTTAAATTACAGATTAATACAAAAAAAATATGACATAATATAAACACGAAAAACTCATATTCAACGTTTTCTTTCTTTCATATATGAATCCATCTGTTAATTCATTGAATAAAAGTCAGCAATGATGAGAAAACAAACCCACTTGATCGATGATAATAATAAATATGAAAACAAGTAATACCTGTGAATCATGCCAACGAATAGATTTAACGAATAAAACGAAAAAGAAAGATAAGGAATTATTCTTGGTTTGTCAAGAATGAAGTTAGGAATATATTGATGACTGTTCACAAAGATGGATCAATTGTAATTTTTGGAATCGGCATTGCTTGGAAACATTTCTGTGTAGTAGCATAAATGCATATAGGATTCTCTGTACGCTAGAATAAGCATATTTTGAAATTGACGATTAATGATATACTATTGTGATAAACAAACAATTGTACGAACTTCCATCATAAATTTTTACGAATAAAATTCATTTCCGAACACCCGGTAACATTTACCGGTGTTCGTAAGAGGTGAGACGAAAGCTAATTCGCCCATGACGATGTCAATGGTTGATTCATATTTTCCCTAAGAATTATTAGTGGCACTGGCAATTCCTCCACTCGTGAGGAATTCCTATTTGACAGCCATTGGATACTGTTGATTAAACCAGTGAGCATATTTCAAAAGATAGAATCCTGAGTCATCAACTTAACCAGCGCGTATAGAGGAAATTTTTCAAAACAGATTTAACGGTTTGGATCCCCAAGTAAGCAAAAAATGAAGGAAGACTGCCGACATGACTAGTCAGAAATGTCCGCAGGATCCGTCTAGTCTAGTCTGAAATGTCTTGCATACCCGTCTTGTCTAGTCAGCTTAATGAGGAGNAAAAAGACTAGTCATTTAACCAGTCTTTTGCTCACTTGGGGATCAGGCACTGCTAGAAAACATACGTGGCTGCAGTCTATCAAAAGTTTCCAATCCTTTCTTTTCAGATATTAAAAAGTTTTCAGTGTCGATCTTCTCAATTCGTCATCTAAATATATCTCTACAACGTACTGGAAATAACAAAACAAAACAAAACAAAACATTGATGCTGATATAATAAAATACACAAGAATTGATTCTTCTTTGATAGACAACCATCTTTACTAAGATAAGCATCTCGTACGAAGATCATAGTAGACGTTTTATAAACATTTTCAAATTAAAATTATTGATTAATCGATTTACTATTACTGTTAGTACATAAGATAATCTAATAATATGTTTTTCGAACGTTTACTTTGTGTTTTATCAATCCTTTCTTTTGCAATGAATCTAACTAACAGTTTATATTACATGTTATTATTATCTTTATTGGTCTCCAAATAAAATCATTTTACTTTTTACTTTTTAATTTAACATAGACATTCTATTGAGAACCCATTCAATAGAAAGTAAATTTTATTTTTCATCAAAAAATAAGTTACAATAGTAAGAATATACAAGTATTAGTAGTGGTCGTACATGCATACGCTAAATCAATTATTTATTCGAAACAATGCTGATGTATCATAACGAGCATTTGTAGCTATTTTAACTTAAGATTGAATTGGCACAAGTAAAATCTGATATAGCATTATGACGTTCAAACATGTGACATTTGTATTCGTCGAATTTCAGCAAATGCACTACGATAGTTCGATATAACGTTATTTGAATTTTCATTATCAAATTCATCGTTAATTGAGGATTCTATTGATCGAGATGGTGAATGCGAATGTGCCGAACTTGGTGGTACACCAACCTAAAATTAACATGAGAATAAAAAATCTTTTTCTATTGACTAAACATAAAATTATACTTGTGTGGATGAAGTCGACACTGACGAAAGCGAATTCGATGATGCCTGTCAACAAACAAGAAAAAAATATATACACAATATTTGTTGAATAATATTTTTACCTTGACTAATTCAACTTGTTGTGGTTTTGGTTCAACTGTTACAATTCTTTGATTTTGAATTCGATCTCGAGTTTTTGAATTTGTTGAATAATCATCACAGCACCATGATGCGCAGCGTAAGAATGTAATGGGCATCTGAAATGTGAAAAAGACTTTTATAATAATGGTCACATATACTTAATCTACAGTAGACGATCGGATAAAATAAAACGTACAGAATAACGAATACGAAAGAAAACGATTAATAGAAATTTCGAACCAATGAGATGCGCATTCCATCTTTTATATAACCTTCCAAAATTATAATATGTCGTTTCCCCGTCTCGACGGAGACATAAGATGATATCTATACGATTACGATCTACTAGATAATGTCGATGATTCATCACATAATGACTAAAACAAATCGATTGAGGTAGTTGTTTATGCCGAATCATAACTGGTCTAATTAGGATGCATTTGTAAAGAAAATTTAGGCATAACTTGCCATATTGTTATACCACATTTGTTTTTTGATCATATTTATTCTTTGTATTTTGTTAACTTCACCTTCTAATGTCATCTGTTGAACAAAAAGAGTATCACTCTACCTAGTATGAGTGATAGAGCTACGAAAAAAATGAATAGTCAATTCTCGATCTTCTGAATTATTATTATGATACTGTAGATAGTTTCTAGGCAGTTCAAGAAGTTTTGTCTCAGGTCTTATAGATACTGATGATAAATTTTTTGATACATTTGGTTTTATATAGCGACAAAATCACACGACTTTCTATACGTTCGAGTTTCTTTAAGCATGATTATTACTACTCATTAGTTTCTAATTACAAAGTGTTATGTAGCATATGTCTTGTTTTCATGCAAAAAAGCATTGTTTTTATAGATTTCTTAATATATCTATAGAACCATCTATGATATAAATCAATTCGAATGGGAAATGAAGCGAAAAAAATTTCATAAATGTGCAACTTCTACCTTGAATGTTATATGAAAATGGTAATGTGTTGATGACATGCTTGCTGCTTTCCAAATAGTATTGAGTTATAAATTCAATTGGGATACGCGTTTTGTTGAAAATGATGATATTACGCTCAATACGATGACCTATATATATATACATATGTGCCGACTAATTGAGTAGACGAAACGAAACAATGGTTCCCTTTGTCTGATAGCATATAGAAATAAAAGAATAGAAAAAGTGAATATGTAGTCAATTCATGTATTGAAAATAGAGGTCAGCATATTAGTCCATTTCAGAGGAACCCACAGGGTAACCCTGCCATATGGACACGCCTGATCCATTCCAAAACGGATACACGATTAAACGCATTGCTAAATATCAAGAGAAAGGTGATTTATGAGTTTCTGTGATGCTTTTGAGTTAGACTGAGTTAAGAATAATAAGAGTTTACAAAAATGAGAAGTCCCCGAAAACATGTGGAAATTGTTGAAAATTATAGATTATCAAAGATAGTCAACCAAGCTCACTATAACTCACAAAAACTCAGTTGATTTTAGATGATTTTAGTCTGATGTAGGAATAATTGAAATCACCTGCTTTCCCTTTATTAAATATGCAGTTTTACTCCCTTATACGTATGTGTAGGATACCTACAACTATACTTTCTGCTAGCTGTAAAAAAGATTTGCTTTTTGTAATTCGCATGAGTTCTATACAAGTATTGATGTGCCTTCCTATGACTATTTGTATACATCATTCACACTTCTATTATTTTTATCTATTTCTGTGACTAGGATTGTAACAGTTTTAGTTTCTCTGAAAAATAACTGTTGTAAATCTGATAGGTTCAATCCTTTTGTACGACTAATTAGCATCAGTTCTCTCTTTGACTTGTTAAGAATGATATATCGACTGTAGCAGTGGTGGACCCAGAAAATCAATAACACGGTGGCATTGCTAGGTGTGGGTCAATGTTAGTGTAGATGCGCGCAGACACCGGTGTTGGTGTCATCAAGACTAGTGATGAATAGATGAACACCTGCGGATGCTTTCTGTGGCATTTCGGTCACACCTACACAGTGGTATAAATTATGGGGGAAGTGAAAGCACCTGCATTCAATAGAGGTCGTCGGGTTCTTCTTTACTATACCATTCTCATCGTTTGGTCTAACCTATAGGCGAATCCAGACCGAAGATACCCTACATCTATTCTTGCTATGTCAAGAATAAAGTTTAAGAATATATTTATGAGTGCTAATGTTAACAGGGATGTATCAATTGCAATTATTGGAATTAACATTGTTTAGGAAGATTTCTATCTAATACTATAGATGTACGCATGATTCTTTATACGCTAGAATGAAAATATCTTTGAATATAAAAGCAATTTCAACTATTGATCAATCCTTATTCAATTACCAATGTTAGATTTCAATGTTTCACAATATTTAGCTAGATTTATCACGATTAAAAAAAAAAGCTATAAACATATTTTGAAATTGACGATTAATGATATATGATTGTGATAAAGAAACAATTATATAGTATTTATCAAATTTTTGTCTGCACAGAAATTATGCTGCGCGCGAAAAATATCATGTCTTACAATTTTCATAGATCACAAAAACATTATTATCATCATTTCATAAAACAAAACAAAAAAGACATGTTATTGACATCTTTGAATAGCTTCATCCAATGCATTTCGAAGGAATTCTAATGGAAATGAACCTTGGATTGGTTGAGCAATGTACGTAACTCAACTTTTTCATTTGATCAATAATATAAACTCGAATTGGCCAAGGAGAATACACTTGACTAAATGGATTCTTTTCTGATACGAGATCAATGAGCAATGGAATTCGATATTCTGTTGCTCTGATAAAATCATCGGCAATACGAATTCGATCATCATCATATTTTGGTTGAAAATAACATATTCGACTACCTATTGGTCTAAAATAATACACTGCATAATAATCACGAATGTAAATTATACAACTTACCATTCATAAACTACATGACCTTCTTCAATGTAAACAGTAATCATATCAGCACGAGCTTAATAAAAGTCTATTAGTTGATTGAGTTGTGGCACAAGACCACAAAATGGTGGTCATGTGTATGAATCAGCAAGAATTAATAATGGCCGATTAGGATGACAATGAGATAATAATGAAACAAATTCACCATTTATATTCAATAATCGAACATCAACAGCTTGATCACCGACTTTAAGATTTCCTTGTTTTGCACGATTATGTTGAACATAAAGGGATAAATTATGAAATTCAGGATCACATCCATATAATTGATGAGCACTCCGGAATATACTAAAAAAAACAACAAAATTAACGCACGTTAGTATAATATACGGGATAGAACGCCTACTGTAAGCCATACTGGATTTCATCTTGTGTTGCATCTTCACCAATGGCTTTTTTAATTAATTCCGTTTGTAAATCAGCTACAATATCCATCCAATCGATGTCTTTTCGATCTTAAATACTTGCCAATAATTGTTGAGTTTCTTGACTAAGTCTTATTTGTTCTTCTTGAATAAGTAAATCTTTAAGTACATCACGTTCTAATAATCTAAATATTCGGAATTGCTTTGTATCAGTTGATTGTCATTGGTCATTCGAACTGTCACCATCATCATCTTCGCTATCGGAAGCATCTTCCTTATCTTCAACATTTGATAATACGATAGTTTTTAAATTTGGAATATCCTTAGGTACATTTATGTCTTCACATTCATTAAATAAAATCGAAAGAGCACCTCGACCTTGTAAAACAGAATTTTGTAATTCGGCTGATGACAGAAGTTCCGAATGTGTCATGTGATTAAAGTCAAATGCAAGAACTTTTTTTATTGCTTCAGCTCTTGTGTATGATAAATTCTTAAAATCTTGTCGGCCACTTGTAAAGTGATACATTCCACCTACGTAACGTAATACCGCATGAAGTGTAGACTCGTTTTGTATGTTACAATCGGAAATCGTTCGATCGTCTGCTAATTGTTTTCCAGCAAATACAATACGTTGCTGATCAATCGGAGTACCTTCGATATCTTGAATCAGTTGCTTGATATGAAGTACAGTCGTGGATTGATCGACTATTAAGGTAATCGTTTTTCCGGAAAGAAATTTCGCAAAAAGTCGAGTACTCAATGATGTTTCATCGTCCTGTAGAGAAAATAGAAAACTTATGTGAAATAAGAAAATGAAGTTCTCATTTACTTTGTCACTTGACAGTTTCACCATAATGATAGAATTATCTTGATACAGCTTGCATGATAATATAGTATCATTCGCCGTTAATATTCGACCTTCTTTCCAACGTTCTTGATTCGTTTGAGAGTCGTTATTTAATGCACATGCTCTTAATGCTATGCTTTTGTGTTTGTCGAGTCGTTTGAGTTGTGTTTGAATTTTTCCGATATTATCAGTAACAAGAACATTCAGTTTTACTTTTAGAGGCGTTGCATCTATATGATATGTTATCCAGATACACACTTGAACGTATGTAATAAACTGAGGATGATCTGAATAGGCGAATACAGATGTTTGTAGTTCGGCGTCTTCCAATGGCTTAATAACATTGTCAATCATGGTTCCAATTTTTACCGATTGTTGTAAATATTTTGGTACATACTCCTTTTTGAATTTCTTAAATAATGTACCGACTAATTCATGATGGGATGTGGGTGTGGGTTACCAACTCAGATGGTTACCAAGTCAGATGGGGTTAATTAATCAAGTCACTATTAAAGTAGTTAGTTAGAATAAAATTCTATATCTAGAACGGATCAAATTTGATTCGATATTTTTCGGTCACGATTTTTCTTCAGCGAAGTTGGAATCGGCGAAACTGTACTAATTCGGTAGAAATAAGCCCATAGAATTTCCTCACACTATTTGAAGAAAATTGGCATCGCTCAAAAAGATACATTAAATAATCAAATATCCCTATATGACAACGTCAGACTTTCTCCGATTATCATTTTTATACCTGGCACACTCACGCAAGTTTTCATCAAAAGCAGTCAAGAAATTACAGAAGACCCAACATGATTTTTCCAAATCTTCTTTGTCAATTTCGGAGCAACCAAGCACGTAATGTCAAATATTTTACATGAATACAACAACTTTTTCTTGTGATTGAACTAAAAGCATTTGAAGAAAGGCCTTCGAGTGGTCGTTGTTTCCATAGGAATGGAAAACCAAACTAACATTCTTCTTAGGGACTATCGTTTTGAATGCACATATTGTATAACATATGATTTATACAATATGATGTATAAAATAGAATACATTTCTAAGATTTTGTGTCACAAAAAAACATACTACCATTTAATTTAATTTAATTTATATTTATTCAATGACAAGAAAAAAAAAATTTATATTTGAAATAAATATAAATTATTGGCAGTTTAATTTAAGCGTAAATTAAATGAAAAGTAAATACAAATTGACACCCCTACTTCCATGTAGGCGGGGGAATATGCATATTATTTCCAATTAAATTTGATGATGTTATATGATGACATTCGATTTTATCTTGCTGAAGATGACTACTATTTCATTTTGCCTTTATTTTTTGTACATGCTTGGGTTTTCCCTTTCGTCGTGATCTACGCAGTGAATATGGAAGAGAAACATAGCCAAAGGGGAAATGATTCATACACGACAAAATGGCCAAGGTGTATATACACACAAAAAAATTCTATTTTTTTCATTCGTATTAGAAATTTCTGGAGCCGTTCAGAACTAAGTGGACATCTGTATTACAAACAATCCCATATTATTTCTTATTTATAAGAAGGCAAAAAGTATTGACGATCCTTCCAAAAAAGCGCTAATTTATTCATTATTTCGGTAGAATCATGTCGCATCAGATAGCTCTGTTCGTAGGTTTCGCATTGGTAAAAATTGCAGCTGGCACAGTAGGTAAGTATACGTATCATAAAATTGTCAAACATCGCAACAGTAAAAAACATCCTCACGAAACACAACAACGACAGCAATCGCCTTCCAATCGCAGGGGTTCTTCGAACTCTATATACCAAGATACATATTGTGATGGATGTGGTAAATTTATAAATGATGGTATTCGTTACCATTGTCTCCAATGTCCAAATTTTGATCTTTGTGGACATTGTCATAATTTACCACCAAATTGCAGATCGATAAAAGGTCATACCGCTGATCATAATATGCTAACAATGATCCAATAACCATCTCTAGGTCCAAATGATAGTTCCCTTTTTTTGTTGCTTTCATGTCTTTTTTCATACATTTAATAAACAATCAAAAGAATATTTAAAAAGAACACTTTTCTTTATTAATCAGTTTATTTACTATATTCAGTGTAGTGAGATCATATTTATATTTTGTTCAAAAATAAGATAATAAAACCTTTTTAACATTTGAAGTTTATTGGATCTATCAATTAGGTAATATTACTAGAGAGCGGGCAAAGACATTTTGTACTCGTGTCCCGGACACCCGGTAATCCGTCGGGGTGTTCGGAATTGATTTTTCCCAAGGGGGAACAAACTGATTTCGTGATTTCTTGATTTCAAGTGTTTTCCTTGCTTTCTGTTGATTTCGTTGATAGTAGTAATCAATCCACTTTCTTTTCTTGTGGGTGTGGGATTTCGTCTTGTCTTTATCCACACCCACGCCCTGAATTAAAAATGCGTTTAAATTCCATCTTATCATGCACTAAAATGCATAAACAAAGATCAAAGTTTGATGTGAAAATTTTTAATTAGTGCACTGGAACAAAGTTTAGAAATAACTTTATATCACAAACATACTTTCTGGTTTTTTCCTGCTTTTTGGACTTTGAAAGGTGGCAGCACTGTTTCACTGTGTGCCACTTTCAATCAAACAAAGAAAGAGCCGGTCAGATTCTGCGTCCCCTTTAGAAGAATTATTCACAGACAGCCACACGCATGTTTTCACGTTCAAATAGATACTGAATAGAATTATTCATATGAGTCATATTTAAGTGGCTGCAGTTGTGCTACACTAGTTGTCAACGGATTATGGTAAGTAGCTTAAAGTTCAATTAATATTCATATACATTGGAACTATTCACAATGATGAAAATAGTAAAAAAGCAACACCTAAAATATAGACTCCAGTTTTATACAAACACTATTCGATTGAACAAATCCATCTGGAAGAGCGAGGCTGGATATAGATTATATTCAAATTGTCTGCACATATTTTCTCTAGAATAAACTGATACGACTAGGGGTGACACTTTAACTTTAAAACACTTTAAGAAAAGTATTAAAGTTAAAGTATTTTTATTTTAACTTTAAACTTTAATTAAAGTGATTTACTCTAACTTTATTTTTTAAAGTTAAAGTTGACTTTCTTTTCTATGCATTCAACTGACTGGATTGATTGATTGATTGATTGATACTCATTAGACCTTCTGCAACCCGTATGCCGACAGAATAAATGAAAAATAAAGCAATCTAAAACAACTTTATACTTTAATCTTAAAGTTTAAAGTTGTTTAAAGTCATCTGACACTACTTCATCGCTTCATTTTTTTGCATCTTATACGTTACGCAAGTTGCAGAGGCTCGAACGAGTATCAATCAGTTGGTCCAGGTAGTTATAAACGTAAACGAGAAAATTCACTTTAACTTTAAAAAATAAAGTTAAAGTAAATCACTTCAATTGAAGTTTAAAGTAAAGTTAAAGTGCCACCCCTAGATAGGACCATAAAAAGCATAATTGCTACATTCCATTCTATATCCCACAACTTCTAGCACCATTCTGTTAGATGAAGAATCGTAAGATTGTAACGTGGTTAAATCTTATTTAATATGTACCCTGTCCCAATTTACAATTTTCATATCCTCACGAGATTATTTCTTTTGTGATTATGTCATGAAATCTAGATAATTAAATACATTATTTAACAAACAATTTTCATACTCATTTTGAGTTTTGTAAGTGTTCAAGGGAGTGATGATCTTAGTCATATAAAAATAAAATAGCATAAGCATATTCATACCCTATCCAACTTGAAATATCAATGATTTTAGTTAGTTCTCTTTGTCTCTGCAGAATTTTGTACAAATCGAGAAAACGATGGATACATTTGTTCATACTTATGATGAAAAAATTCGTCCATTGATGGACAAAATTGATCAAGCTCGATCGCTATTGTCATCAAACGATGAGGGCATTATCTTTCCTAGTATTGTTGTCGTTGGCGATCAGTCAAGTGGTAAATCAACACTGATCGAATCGTTATCATTAGTTGAACTTCCGAAAGGCTCCGGTATTGTTACTAGATGTCCATTAGTATTAAGATTACGTAAATCTAACATAAGAGGATCGTATTGTTTGGACGGGAATAACAAAACTGTACTCGACGAAAAAAATGCCAACATACTGAAATACATTGAAGAAGAAACGAAAAATGTGGCTGGTAATAATAGAAATATTGTTAAAAATTCGATTGAAATACAAGTGGATGATCCTAGTGTACAAGATTTGACTGTAGTCGATTTGCCCAGTATCGCACGCAATCCTATCGATGACCAGCGAAAAGGTATTCACAAGTAAACGACAGATTTAATTCGTGATTTTATCCGTCAAGAAGATAGCATTATTTTGCGTGTCTCTCCTGCTAATGTTGATATTGGAACGGTTGAATCATTTACAATAGCACGTGAAATCGATCCTGAAGGAGAACGAACGATTGGTGTTATAACAAAATCTGATCTTGGTGCAAACAATGATACGTTGATACAGCAATTGTTAATGGATCGACCAGACGTGCTTCATTTAACATTAGGCTTTATTGTTGTCCGTAATCGTAGTACCGATGAAAATATTTCACTAGAAGATGCGCGTAACCGTGAAAAAGAATTCTTTAATCAACATCATGCGTCAAGTGTTACTAGCCACTGTCTTGGCATTGATGCGCTCATTAATCGTTTAGCTGATTTATATTCTGATCGTGCCAAAAAAACATTTCCAAAAATGCGAGCGGATGTGCAGAACAAGTTGAAAGATATTTGTGAGCAATTATCAAAGTTTCCCCAGATCTACAATCGAGCTCTACTAGATGAGCTAAATATTTTGAATTGACTGATTGCTATATAGAAAATGTCATTCAAGAGCGCTTTAAGAGTTCGAATGATGATCAGCACAATAGTATGCTTAACAAGTTAGCTTGCAACTTCAAAAAAGTTCAAGATATCATAGAAAAACAAAGTAAGGATATGTTTTCATCATCATATCGTTCAAGAGTTCACAAAACCATGTTAGCATGCTTTGGTGAGCAATTACAAAGTTTTCTACCACATCCAGTGTTGAAACGGTTCATATGCAAAAAGTTAGATGAACTTTGGTGTGTAATCGAAGTGCTTATTGAAGAAAGCTTTCATATGACATGCAAACTATTATTAGATAATGATAAAGATGTATGCAACAATGATAATTTACTGTTAAAATTATTGCCCATATTTCGTAATATTGTGGCTAAGTACTTGGAAAAAAAAGAAACACGCAGTACATGATCAGTTGAAGGAAATGGTCCGATTAGAAAAACTTGAACTGTATACTCAGAATTATTTCTACGTGAATGAAGTTAATAAATTGAAATTTCACGCAGAAAAGTCTAAATCTACCACAGCAGAGGTGCAAACGAAGTCATTTATATCAGATGATGATAATGACCATGTTAAACCAGCAGTGAATGTGATTTTATATGATGACGAGCCAGTACACGAAATGATCTTTAGTATTTATTCATACTGGTATTTGGCATTCAAACGATTCATGGATTATACCGCGTTATCTTTACGTGCAGGTTGCGTTTTTGACACAAGTTTCGGTATACGAGAAACTATAGGACAGATTGCTGCCAAACAGAATGACCTTGTAGATGAAATTTTTGCTGAGGATGCACATACTCGAGCAAAACGACAGCAACTGCAACAAACCAAAGTACGTTTGGGAAAAGTGGATGCTATACCTGGTGATGTTCGGATAACTGTCGATAGTAATGATATGTTAATCAGTGACTTCAAGTTGTTAGAAAATCCACCATTGATAATATTAGATAGCCTAGCAGAAAATCTGACTTGCTCTCGTATCATTAACACTACTAGTCCATCAACCCCTGTACTGACTACGCATTATCAACAATCTGTTCTAGATTTTGCAAAAACATGGCTAGATTCTGAAACAACAGTTCCGATAAATTCTGCTGTCAATCGACCTTCTGCAATCAAAAAAGTAGCCGTACATAAGCAAATATGATTTTCAGGCCTACTGGTATGAACAACTGGTCATCCACTTAACACAGACCTTGAACAGATTATAATCATTTATATACCCTAGTAGTTTTCTAATTGTAGTGAAACATACTTTGTTGAGAGTATTTAAATAAAACGTTTGAAGGGTTTACCTATCAAAATTAATATTATTCATAATTATTAACGTAGAATATTTCGATGTTAAACATTTGAAATGGGATTGATGCAAGTTCATTTATTTAGCTGAAGCATTAGTCACAAAGCTCGTAATTCTTCAAAATGATTTAAAGAATATTGACCTATCTTGAAAACTCCTCCCTAATTCAACCTTGTGTATTACTGAAAATTAGACTTTGTATCTTGCTCGAATTGTGGTTTTAATGATCTTTATATTTATCCCAAGTGATTGTGTGTTATTTGCTACTATAATTTCCCAATTTATTGAAGCACAAAAGAATGCCAGGGTTTTAAGAAAATAGCCATTCTATTTTATTCTTCATTTTAGCGCATAGCTGTCTAGTAATTAGCATGGTTTTGCAGATTCGCGATAAAATTCTTTCATCCGCACACTTAAATTCAAGTGATATGCAAGATGCTATTGTAGTTGAGTTTCTTTCATGGTCAATTTATTATCATTACAATGAAATGTCGATGTGGTAGACACAACTACATTCCGAATGATTTACAAAGTCACAGAGTCAAACAAACAACCAGCAATGAAGAAACTAGGTTTAGATAGATAAAGCATTCGAGTCTACAAGATTCAATATAAGAGAGGATAGACTATTTTGAACCCGGAAAAATAACAATCTATATACAACTGATCTGTGAAACAAACAACATTTTTCAAAATCATAATCACTGAATTCTCCTTATTATTACAAAAGATTGCCTGCCAGTTGTTAATAACAGCACGGATGTGCTCAAAAATATGACAGATCCGTTTATGTTGAATAGATCTTGTGGTTAGCTAAAAATGTATCCTTAGTCTATTATGAAATTCATTCTATATATAATACGCAGAACTACTTCACAAGTTGCTTTTTCCATTCATTTCGTTGAAACAATCCTTCATACATCAACAAAATATAGATATAAAACCGTAACATAATTATCCGTATTATATAACTTCGTACTCCTTCTGAATTCCCAAAGATGCTGTGACCAGAGATGAGCACAGGACAAGATTTCCTTTCCTGTGCTCATCTCTGAAAGGGGCTAAAAGACGTTGATTGGAGACACAGTTGTACTAGACAGATTTTTCTATTTGTAGTACCAGGTAAATTTATCATTTTATTGAATCTTACGCAAGCCAGGTAAAAAGGCTACACTAGAAAGAATGGTGAAATAACATAAAAAATAGCTTGAAGAAATCCATTGTCATATTCGCGAATCGTTTTTCTTATGTCTACTATAGTCATACAGCCTTAAAAATGATGCTGAAAGAAAACAGAATTCCATGCGTCATATTTATCAAAAATGTGCATTTTGTAAAGCGTAGTGTCTCCAAACCACAGAACGTAAATATCATCCATTATGAATAACATTTCTTTTCTTTTCTCTTATGATTTTATTTTGCTAAAGAGTGTCGCAAGTACTGCATTCAGACGTGTGTTTAATTGCGAAATATTTTATTAGTCATACATTTATTGCATTAGTATATTAACAAGTCATTTTCTTGCAGTTTATTCTTTGCAATTAGTATAAATAAACATGCAGAATAACGAGAAAGTTATAACACATTTACTTGAACTACCCAATGAATTATTTCCATACTTGTTAAATTATCTCAGTTCAGCAGAAATTCTCAAAGCTTTTCTTGAGCTGAGCGAACGCAATACGCGACTTGCTTCTCTCATTATACCCTATTTATCTTATATTAACTTGTCTCATGAATCGAATTTTTGGTTGACTACTCGTTTACCTAAATTCCGAGACGTGATCTATTCAGTATGCGCTACTACTCGACAACTGACACATTTACGCGATCTACCATCACTAGGAACATTAGCAATCGTTGAAATTCATTCAACAAATGATTTAGCCGTTGCTCTTCGAACTTTAACTGCTGGAGTGCCAAAGTTATATTCGCTCAAACTTAAGTTCATTTTAAAACATGACATTTTTGATTTAGAAAGCAGCTTCGATATTCCATTGGAAGAATTCGATCTCTCATTGAGATGCTCGTTTACTCCAACAGGCTCAACGATTTCTTCATTACGCCATTTAACTTTACGTGTAAATACAATCGGTGATTTATTTCAACTCGGTCGACAATTACCAATGATTGAATCATTGCTTGTCAACATAAATGGACAAATATATACGACTGTTGATTCTTTGCAACAGTTCGATTCATTTTTTATTCTTTCTCCTTATATAAAACGAGTTGGACTCTATTCTCGAGACATAATACCAAACAGGTTGGCTTCTAAAAATGATATTGGATCTCAATCACTTTTTTTTGTTTAGATTTCGACCAAAATATCGATATGAATTCGAATACTTTGAAAAATTTATCCATGGATGTTCTTCATCGCTGGAATATCTAACACTCGATTTAATTTTACCAAATCGATCCGAATCAACTTCATTATTTCATTCGCCAACATTCGTCGATGGTGATCGACTCGAAAAAGGAATCATTGCAGTTTTAACTCGCCTAAAAAAAATTGAATTTTGTATCGAATTCGATCTCCCTGTTAAATGTATTGAAAAATATCAAAGTTCATTTGCGACTGAACTCTGGCGACAACGATGTATAGTAATTGATTATCCAATTTCAGGTACACAGATGTATAGGCAAATTTTATTCGACCTTTTTGTGTCTTTTAATAGCAACTCTTCCTGTCTCTGGTACTACCCAAATGATTGTCTTTTCTATCACTGATACTGAAACAGTTTTCGAAGAGCTATCCATCGCTTCATCACGAATTACCGATTGGCATTCAAATGCCAATTTAACTACACATCATAGTGGAATTATACTCACTTCTGTGCGTACTATAACTATTGCACCTTTAGATCGTGATACTACTCTCACCCTCGATCTATTCCGATGGATTTCTGCGTCATTTCCACGACTTCGTTGCCTGGAGCTTGTACAAGAAACAGACTGGCAACTTGAAGAAGAAAGTGTCTCCTATCCAGAACTTGAAAACGTTCGAGTTCTCTGTTTTCGCGGAAAATTGTCTTCGCAACTGATTCGTCGTCTTCTTCGCATGTGTCCCCGATTGAGATATTTGCAATTATCAAAAGCGTCACTCACAAAAATGATTGCAGATTCGGAGTTATATAATGATCCGTATTTGATAAATATTTATCATCAAATATTAGAAATTCAATTGACTGGTCCGGGTGATTATGTTAGCTTTAACGGACAACTTCATGACTTTTTCCCACTTGCTTACTTTGTTTAGTAACACTACTCTGCTATAAAAAAAATCACAAGATCATACCTAATCCTAGTCTTTCATTTTTTTTCATACAAAATAAGAAACGTTTCATGAAATCTTAAAATCGACGGGCATGTGTATGGTGAATAGGAATCTGCAAAGTAGTTCCGGTTTGGGGACTAAACAAGTTTTAGCCTAGTCTTGATCAGCTTATTTTCTGGAAACTTGATTAGGTTTTCTAGTATGTAAAACATAATATACATAGATTTGATTCGATAACTAGTTAAACATTTCACTTATTTTTAGTTTTTATCATTGTTCTGCTATTTTTAGTGTGAATTACTTATAGTTTTGTTGTGTCACTCTTGTAAACTGGATGAAAAACTATCTACCCGTTGGGAATAAAAAAATTAATAAACATAAGACTGAGGCTTAATCTTCCAAAAAATTTCGATACTAGTCCTTAAAAATAGAAGTCCTAGTCTTGTCGATTATGAGCTACGTCTGCAGGTCCCTAAAGGTGAGCGACCGAAAAGTAAAAGGTCGTCATGTGATATAACTATGAGACCTAGCTGACGATCTATAAGAGAGAAGTCGAAGAAAAACTTTGTTTCATTACTGATGGGCCACCCTGTATATTTGACGTTAACCTTTTCTGAATACTTGAAATGAAATATAATGTTACGTTTCTGTGTTTTTCGATTTAAATAAAGCATTATATTTATCACAATGAGTAATCTTTAAAGAAAAGCTTGTAACGAGTTTAAAAGTACTATATGACATGAAATTACTCAGACGACTTAGCATAAACAAATGCATATACAAAGTTATTTTAAGATCAGGAAAAAGAATGGCTTGTAGTAAAGCAAAAAATAACTTTTCATCGGCACATCTATTGATCCATAGTTGCAGGAGACGAGACCGATGCTGGGAAATAGAGTAGTTTTCTGGCAACGAGCTTCGCAACCATTTCACGAGTTCATCGTCCGGCGATAGTGATGCCTTAGTCATCCAAAAATCATTTTGACATTCACAATGCAATGCTCGAAGATTGCACATCTTATCGACAAGATCGAGAATAATGTTTCGATCATCAATACGAATCGTAAGAACTTCACATTCACGTCCAATGAATGAATTAGCTAATATCGAACATTGTTCAGCATTCATATAGCGATTGATTCTCGTACGATAGTGTTTTAAATGAATCTGACTAAGTGAGAGATGTGCTATATTCGATTGTACCAATTTCAAAAGTGACGTTGCATCAAAACTTAAATATTTTAGACGAGACGCTCGATTGAGTAAAACTTTCATTTGAGATTCCAATTGACTCTTTTCTCGCATTTCAATGATTTCCAACGCTATCAAATGATCCAATGTTGGAATAAAAGCCCAAAAATAATTATCGAGCGGCAGTCTCAATGTTAGACGACGAACATTTGCATAGACTATGGGAAATACTGCTAAATTATCTATACTTTCTTTGTAAAATACGTTCATCACTCAATCGTAAGAATTATAATCCCAGGCATTAGGACAGGTCGTTTTTGACCATTGATTTTGATGAATAATATGAACGCCACCGAAACAATAGGGTAAAGTGTAGAGAAGGAAAAATTTTGTCGAGTTTTTCGGCCAATCGCATCAAACAAACTATTGATGATCATCGAGCCAAAATGGAGTTCGAAAAGTAAGGGTGTGGGTGTGGATAAAGACAAGACTAAATCCCACACCCATCTTAGTATAACTTTTCAATTTCAATATCTCTCATGGAATAAAATCACACCTTTGTGAATAGAACATGATTTGATTATTTTGTTCAAAATTTTCAGTTTTAAAGAATAGACATAGACTTGTATAATTTTTTATGATTATAGTTAAGCTAATTCTATTTGGAAAATTAAAAATGTGCAAACGTCTTTTGAAAAATCTAATTATTGTATTGAAAAGTAATTCGAATGTTTCTATCCGAATAATTTAAGAACTACTATCTAGTAGATACAATATTAAGAACACCACCTAATGACGTCTAGCCAATACAGAAACAACTGCTGTCGTGGTACGGCATTCTAAATTTTAAAGACACACCCACACCCACCCATGATATATAAAGATTTCAGTATGAAGTATTGTAGGGCTACACTCAAATTCATTCATTTAATAATAAAAACGATTGTAACATATGATTCATAAGTTCCTAACGAAAACGATGGAAACAAATTGTAAAAATATGAAATGGCATCTGTAACATTACGTCATTTTATTAGGTTTTGTTTTATTTTTATAAAACAGTTCCATATAAATGCGTACTCTCTTATTGTTTCAGTGATTCACTCACACCAAACTTTTTAACTCGAAATTCTAATATAATAAGGTCGATATCCAGGAATAACCATTGATTTATTTGAAGCACTATTCCAAAATCCTCTGCATCTATCATCTTTCGCATTCTTTTCTTATTACATTGATTTTGTCAAGAGGAACAATCGATTGTTCTCTTAAAAATCCTAAACTGCCAAAAGAAAATAATGAAAACCTATATTCAAAAAGGTTTAAAGATCTCTTCCAAAATGGTTCCGAATTCTTGGCATTATCTTGTTTTGAAAGTTGCAGATTGCAATTCCTTCGTATTGCTTTTATTTACTTTTTTCGGAGTATTTCTTGGTAAACAAGCAACTGATGAGAATTTAAAACTGATGATGATTCGACTGTAAGATGAACTACCAAAATTTCTCGCAAAATGCAAGGAAAAGATCATATTGATTCTAAAGGGAGAATGATGTTTTTTTTTCTCTAGTAAGCAAACAGTCTTCACTTATTCAGATTCACTTCCTTCTTTTTCTGCTGTTCTATTTATACCGTTCTTCGTTTCATTCAATTATTTTATTCTACTGCGTAGGTCATGAAACACGTGTTTTTTTCTCTTTCCTTACTTCCTCAACCTTCGTCAGAACGAGGTAAGTTTATTTCCATGACGTTGCAAATTTAGCAAACAGTCTATAAATATAAAACTCACCGTCACAAGTCATTGTATTTCATTTCAGCTCATTGAGAATCTCAATTATTCAGTGAAATAAGATGACGATCACTCTTTACGGCGCCTACCAATCTACTTGTACCAAACGAGTGTTAGCAACACTTCATGAAAAAAATATCGAATTTGAATTTCATCCAATCGATATAACGAAGGGTGAACAAAAGGTAGTGTCGATAAACGTTAATAACAGGAGCTAACTGTATGCATCTATTAACAGGATCCACGATACATCGAGGAGAAACAGCCATTTGGCGTTATTCCAGTGTTGACCGACGGCGATTTTCAAATTTATGGTTATTGAACTTTTTGGATAGTATAAACTTGTACTAATTTTAGGTTATTCTAGAATCCCGTGCTATCTGTCGTTATTTGGAATCAAAATATAAGAGCAAGGGTACTGAACTGATTCCAGCGAATATTAAAGGATTGGGGCATTTTGAACAAGCTGCATCCATTGAATCATCCTACTTCGACCCTTATGCCAGTGGAATCGTATTTGAGAAAGTCTTTAAAAAGTAAAGAGAGAACAATTTGTATGGGTAGTTTACAAGATATTTCTTTTCTTTTTACATCGAATAGGCGAAAGGGTCTGGGAGAGCCAGATGAGACAAAAGTAGCTTCACTCAGAGCACAGTTAAATACTAATTTGGATGTCTATGACAAGATATTGGCTAAGCAGCCATACCTTGGTGGACAAGTAAAAGATTTATTTTTGATATTTCTATTTCAATAGCTATTGTCTGTATCCAAACATAGGAATTTACGTTGGCTGATCTATTTCATCTACCATACGGTGCACGTCTTGTTGCTTGTGGCGAAGGTAGTCTTTTCGAATCACGACCTAATGTCAAAGCATGGTGGAGCAAAATAACTTCACGGCCATCATGGATAGCCGTCAAAGATTTAGCATAAATGTATAAAATAAAAACTGAACGTTTTCACCATATTTTTTTCTGCTTTTATTTTAACCTATCTTCTGACGATCTTTTTTTCAATAAATAGAAACAATTAATTGTTTGTAAAACATAATGAATAAGTATACAATCGAATCGAATACAAGTGGTAGCCAACATGAAATTTCGCTGGTTTATCAGTGTTCTTTGATAGATAATGTATTTTGTTTTCCTTCTTTTTGGGAACTCACACTCATTACATATATATATATTCGCATATAGCGATTGTTTTCTTTCGTTCTATATTGCTGTACTATCTGCTTTTTTAGTACGCCTTTTAAGATCATTAAAACATCTACACATGACCTTGAGGCTAAAATTCTTATTGCGTAAATATGAAATAAGTAATAAGATTTAATTGCATATTTAATATGCATAGTCATGATATATATATATATATTTTTTTTTCGTTATTGCCCTAGTTATTAGTTTAGTACTGTGTCAATTCAATAAACTTGAACTGACGTACATACTCAACACTTACACTTCTGGTCTCCTTTCTAATTGACTTAAAGTTCAAAATTCTCTGACAACTATTTAAGTGATTATAGTGTTTGAATAGACGTAAACAGCCGTTGAAGATCTAGTTGATGAACACTTTTTTTAATAAAGTTGCCTTTTACATCGAACAGAAATGAATGGATGTAGTGCAGTATTTATGGTCGTCACAATCCATATGATCTGCTTTGTAAAACAGTCTTTTTTCGTGTGATAATTTTCTTTGCGTTTGAATGCCAATTTTATTAGTGTACAGGGCCAGTCTACCCGTTGTTGCAATTCATAGAGTTATCTTGATCATAGAAATCTCAACTTTTAATTGGAAATCTTTTTAGTATCTTCTTGCGAGTTCTGATCGCGAATAATGTTGATAGAAACAAATCCTAGGTCGAACATTCCTGCACGGAAACGGCCGGTTCCGAAACATTCCAGTAATTTCATGGAAGCAGTATTCCGCTAGGGAATTTTCCGGATTTTTTCCAATGATTTCTGGTTGATTCCTGCCGAAAAGCACAGGAATTTGGAAGGAATCCGCCGGAAAAATCCGGGCAGCTATCGACCGGAATACTGCTTCCAACTTGTAGCCATTTCCGTTTTTTTTCTGTAGGATCCGGTGAGTTTCCAGCATCTTCCCTGGAGCATCCGGGAGCCGAAATCATCGTCCTGGGATAAAATCCAACTTCGTAATTCACGAGCATTACTATTCCGTGTGTTTTATGAGACGCTTTCAGTAAGATTCTATACTAAAATGTTAGATCCATTCTCGGAGTCAATCGGCTCAGAATCCAATCCTTACAATCCGGTAATATGTGAACCAATTTTTGCATAGTTTATCATGATCAACTCTGAATATGTAAACAGGTATTGGAGGATTCTATGATATGTGGTAATAGAACTTGCAGAAATCTGTCGCAGTTACTCCGATACAGACCGGTGCAGCCTCTGGTTGCAAAGATTTCAACTAAATTCTGCTCAGTCTAAGCAGTATTACTTCGGTAAGTTGCAATTTCTTAGCACTTTCTGATACCGACCCCGAAAGGTGCTGGCCGAATCTGCTAGTAATGTTTAACGTTGGCAGATTAACTTGTCATTTCATTCACAAAATAGTTTGGTGTATTTGTGAATTTATGTGCAAGTTCGTACCATAGGTCAAAGTTCAAAATTTGAATCGAACTAAAATAGAAATAGTTAGATGCGAGAGAGACAAAGCGAGCAGAATCATTAGGAAATTCATGAAAACGCGGTTGAAATGAACTGAAATCATATCAGAATTTTTTTTCCTTCAATGTTCGATTCGAACCTTGCACACAAGTTAGATAATAAACAGATCTGATAAACGCCCACATGGGTGCAAAATGCTGACGAACAGTTCAGAAAACAGTTTCACAGGTTCTGAAGGTTTACTATAAGCCTACAAAGAAAATTTAGAATTGATTCTAAAACATCGAACTATTTTGAAATTTGTTGTGTCTACGAGATAGATTTCAGATTCCGTAACCATATCGAAGACTATCTTAAGGTTGTATAGGATAGTTTAACTTTTTGTTTAGCTTACGGCCTGATTATTTTAGAATAAGTATTCATATCTAACAAAATCAAAAGCCTCAGTAAGAATCCCAAATGTCTTTGCCTATTTTCTACACTAAATAATAAAAAATTAACATAGAGCAACTATATATTGATCATTTTCGAACTGCTGCTCAGTTTCCAGCAAGATATGATCTTATTTACATCGACCAGGGTAGTATACACTCAAATTCATCGCTCTTCGAACAAGTATGTCTTTATCCAAGAAAAAGAAATTGAGCAACAACATAAAAAAAAGGGGAAGTGACTGTTTGTTTTAATTCTTTTCAATTTATTTCAGTAGACTCATTGAATTTTTCAGCAAGTGCAGTGACAAAAGAATGTTCTTTTGCGACAACAAACATGACTTCAAGTCATACACAGAATGATGCTTGATGACGTCGGTGAAAAAAGGAAGTAAACAGCATACGAAGTGGTTGACTATGGTGATTACTGTGGCTTCTTATATCTCTTATGTTTACAAAAATATTCAAAAGTCTACATAATATGTTATATACATGTACATGTAAGAATTTTGTTGGCCGCGTAACACAAACTTATAGAATTTCATGTGTGATACTTCATTTGAAACAAGATTGGTATTATTGTTACACTTAAACTTTCATTTGTTTTAGTTACAATACCAACATTGCAAACGATGATTTTAAGAAAAATGGTTACGTCAAAATAGATATTTCGACGTCAAAACTACCAGAAGGAAATTGGAAAAATATCGATCCGGCTGTTTTTTGATAAGGACAAATGAGATCTAACTGATTGTCATCTAAAGGAAGTCTACGCAATACTTGAGTAAGAGAAATAATCAGAAAAAACTAATCTAATATTAATATCGTCTTTTCTAGCTCCTCAGAACAAGGTCGGGTGTGGGTGCGGGTGTGTGTTTACTTGAACTGAGTGTCAACTTTCACACGATACTCACACTCGCTTTGTTTTCAGTTTCAGCTCGACAGTTCGAATATGAGTCAATTTTTTATCTCTCTCTGCTTGTCACCATATTTGTAAGCCTCTGAATTCTACTCTCTAAAGATTGTAGCATACTAAGGATTAAAGAGATTTTGTATTTTTTTTTATCCAACGTTTGCAGTTCTACAGGTTCGCAGCGAAATCTTTCTCACGAGTTGCTTTGTTCAAAACGGGTATGGTTTAGAAGTCAAAACACTCGCACCTACACGCACCATTTTCCGATGACTGTTGTCGAAATCTTTCGGTTGTCAGTAGACGGTATCCTTTACAGGGTATGAGTAGTTTACGACGCAAATTACCAACATATTAATTTTATCCATCGATAACATTACTTTTAAAACCATTGAAGAAGCGACGTGGATTTTTTTATGACTTTTTATGATTGTTTCAAAAATGAAGCGTATAAAACGGGTGAAATCATTTCTCATATTCAGGATACACGAATATTTGCATTTCTGTAGTCAATAAGAAGGTAAAATAGTGAGTACTGAAACAACCATATCGCAGGATTCTTGAAGAGAAATAGAAGTTGTTTTTGTTCCGATGTTTAGTCTCAACTTTTTACGTGAGTTTCAGAATTTGTTTTCTCGAGGCTTGGTGTTTTGCTGCAAAGGCTGTTTCTGAGTATTATGAATCAAAAAAAAATAAACGTGCAGAGACGGCATTATGATTAGATAAGCGGTACGAGATTGTGTGTTATAAATCGACCATGAAACTCTAAAACTATATTTACAAATTTTTACACCTCTCATGAAGTTTCCATAAGATACTAAAGATCAACTGACACGAGAAACACATCAAACGAAATCAGTGGCAACGGGTAAATCCATGGGAAGCGTACCATGTTTACATCGACTTTCTCCAAATTTACTGAAACTTTCAGGGCTTGTAGGGTTCGATTAGTTGATCGTTTTGGTAGTAAAATATTAAGGGTTTGAATATGTTATCAGGTCAAAATGGGCAACATATGTTTTTAGGACTTTTGAAAAAATCATCGCTGAAATAGAGAAGCTTGCACTTTGGGAAAACATTTTCTCCTTCATTACTCAATCAAAACTAAACATTTTATATATGCTTGAATAGCTTGCGATAAACTCTATCTAACCATATATGAGCCAAGTAGTTCAGGATCCTAAGTGAAACTTTCCACGGATCAGAATTATTTGACAGTAACGTAAACTTTTGCTCCTAATAAAAAATCTCTTCCGAATCTGGGTGAGTGGTAGTACTTCAGGTTTTGTAGAGCGTCGCTTGCTCTATCTTCTTGTATATAAGACATCACAGTCGTTTTTGATTTACCGTGATTACAGAGGCAAAAATATCTAGATAGCTGTTGTTTTGGCAAATTTTAGCTCATATTCAAGGGCGTTTTCATAGAAAGCATCGACGAATTAGTTTGGAAATTTGAATATAGATAGATCTCAATGAGTACAATAAAATATATTATGTTATTGTAACGATTTCTGATAGAAGAGATGCCTGTGCTGATGGTATTACACTTTATTTCACTCTTCAAATCATAAAATCGCGTCGGTTACGTATAAAGCACACGCTTAAATACTCAACCATTTGAGAGAACGAAGGAGAATGAGAGATAAAGACAAATATCAAGAACAGAAAGATAAAGGTAATATATGTGATGAGAATAAATGGCACCTTAAGGCCAAATACCATGCACAGACCACACTCGAACGGGAGCGTTACACTCCCACGTGGAATTTAGACGCTCCCCGCATTTATCGTTACACTTATCATCACTGACATTGCAGTATGAAATAATACTAGCAAACGATGGTGAGGCATAAATCATTTATGGAAAAAATCTAGTGTTCAAAATTTTTTAGCCGTGAACTTCTTAATTTTCTTCGAGCTATCGGGAGAAGACCGAATTTTGGGTTTTTAAGGAAAAATATTTTTCTTTATTCTTTATTTTATCGCTATTAAATAAAGATAAAGCTACTTTTTCTTTTTCTTTATTTTATCGCTATTAAATAAAGATAAAGCTACTTTTTCTTTTTCTTTATTTTATAAAGATAAAGATTTCATTTATCTTTATTTTTTAAATATAAAGGTTTTATTTATCTTTAAAAAGTAAAGTAAATATAAAGTAACACCCCTACTCATCAACCTAATAAGGGTTTAATATCCTGCATTCTTTTCGCAGCGTCCCAGTACAACAATGACAATGGCAAGTACCGATCAGAAATTCATTTACATCCCTGCCGATGATCTTAAGAGGGATAAACATCTTGGCAGCGGTGGCTTCGGTGATGTTTACCGTGGAACTTGGGTGAGTCGTCGTTTTCAGGTCGCAATAAAGGTGTTCCGCGTCACTGATTTCGAAATCGAACAACAACAAAAAGAAATCATGCGAGAAATTTCGGCAATGTATTGTATCCGGTTCGAGCATGTGTTGAATGTGTTCGGCGCTTGTGCGGAACCCGACTATCATGCACTCGTCGTTGAATACATGCCTCTTGGCTCTCTTAATGACATTCTTAAAAATGATGACATTCAACTGTCATGGTTCGATCGATGGTCAATCGTCAATCAAATGACCAAAGGAATTAATCATTTACATCAACTCAAACCTATTCCGATTATCCACCGTGACATTAAGTCTCCCAATTTCTTAATGAAGTGGGGTCCACAGAATGATAACAATCGCTTTATTGTCAAAGTAGGTGATTTCGGTCTAGCCAAGTTTCGGTCAGACACAAACTCGCAGCCGCCGAGCGTTGGTCTGGTTGGAACACTTCTATGGATGGCGCCAGAACTCTTCGATTCTGAAAGCAAACATACAAAGGCCAGCGATGTGTACGCATTAGGCATGTGTTTTTGGGAAGTAGCAACACGATGTATTCCGTACGAAGGAATGAATATGCCAAGCGCTTTACTGCATGTGCATTTGGGACACCGTTTAGAGGTGCCATCGGATGTACCAGAAGATTTTGAAGAGATTATCCGTGCTGCATGGACGCATGATCCTGAAGAACGACCAACATGCTTCTTATTGCTTGAAATGATCGACACTGGTATGACCCCTCTGTTATCTTCGAACTCAAGGTAGGTTTTTCTCATTTAAAGAATATGCTTGTATATTTCTCGTTTATATGATGGCCAATTGTAACAGTGCTGATCACAGACGGCCATATCCCAGAAGCGGTTCAAGACACTCGACCACATTTAGGTAAGAATGTTGATGATACACATGGCAAGGCTCGTATCATAGCAATATGTTCACAATTTCTCATAGCGTGTGCGATCTAGTTTTCTCGTATCTCATTTCAGATAAAATATAATACATTTTTCACTGAACAGCTGACTATTATAAGGCTTGTGCATGCGTAAGTTTAATATCGTATACTGTCTTTCCTTCTCTACTTATTCGACTAGATTTATGTTTCTTGCAATGATACACCAACAACATATAGATAGCTAAACGTTAAGAAGTAGCTGTTTCAAAAGTCATGCAAAGGTTTTTTGCCAGGCTGAAATAAAGTCGAGTGATCATGATAACAGGTGTTCTAATAAATACCTCTGCAGATTTTTCAGAAAGGAATGAATCACTCCAACACGATGCGAGTTATTAATGATCATGAAGAAGTTTTTCACTTCATTGTATTACTTAACGAACAAACTAGACCCTAGTAAAAATAAATAGGTGTTTAAAGAAGTGAGCGTTGAGCTTAACGCTAAAATTTTTGCTTTTGAAAACAAGTTAACGAACCCTGACGAAGAAAATTTCATAAAACTCCGTTACATATCGAAAATTTATGAAAATGCATTATACTTTTCATATTGTTTTCAACGATGATTGTCTCCTTAGCGGTAAATAACGCATTATATCTAGTTAAGTATTGCATTCGTTTTCACTTCTGTGATATTTGAATTTTCTTACTTGAATTGTATGTTACCTATATGGCTACGTAGCGAAATCATGTGCATATCTTCCCAACTAATATAACCGCATGAAAAACAAAATAGTTAGAATCAGTATTTTTAATATATCATTAGTATAAATTAACATTTGAGAAAATTAATTATATATGCGAATAGTCCGTAGAATTCTCTATCACTGTATCTATGTACGTTTTGAAGTGCACGTGTTTGCTAACAATATATTCAAACAGAATAACAACAACATCATTGTCTAATTTTCCAGAAATGAACTTTTTGTTTCTTTTTCATCCACTTTCTTGAATTTATTTTTAATATAGAAACAAGTTATCAAAAATACTTAGTATATAGTCTGAATATGAATGAAACTCTGTATCACTCCACACTTACGAACCGTGATTAGCTATTCTTTAATTGTCAATATTTGATATAGTATTAGTAGACTCTAACTCTCATAGTCCTATGGGTTCTATTTTATATTTCGCTAGTGAAGTGAAATGCATAGCATTGAATTGAGTGTTGATCTGAGATGAGAAATGAATCATAGCAAACTTTTCGAAAGCACGAAAATTTGCACAGGCAATCATATTGAATTCTCTCATATTATTTGTACTTAAATTGATATCTAATCCTAAGATATTTTTCGAAGATGTTTCAAAAACTAACGGCATCTATAACAAAATGTGTCTCATATTTATTCTACTGGCAAGCGTTTATGATGATATAACCTGTTAACCATGTATTTTAATTATTAAATATCATTAGTATCCTTCCTTATATTAAGCAAAGTTTTAAGGCAACATTATAGCGTGAAAGTTAGTCAATTATCGATTGAAGTAAGTTGGGTCATTTTTGAACAAATTTTAACTCGTATAGTTTTGTATTGTACACTTCTGAAATTAATTTATTAATTTGTTCGTATGACAGAATAGGCCTATATAAAAGTGGAAATAATGAACTACTTTTTTTGGTAAATTCCAGCTTCGCTGAATCATTTTATCGCCGACTCCAACTTCGCCGAATAAAAATCTTGACCAAAAAATATCGAATCAAATTTGATCCATTCTAGATATAGAATTTTATCCTAACTATCTACTTTAATAGTGACTTGATTAATTAACCCCATCTGAGTTGGTAACCAACTGACTTGGTAGCCAACTGACTTGGTAACCAAGTCAATTATATCTGTTGTCTTGTTTAAACAGATGCCAACAGGTGTAGATGTGAGTGTGGGTGTGTGGGTGTGCGCGTGGGTTATCAACACAGATGATTACCGAGTCAGTTGGTTACCAACTCAGATGGTTGCCAAGTCAGTTGGTTACCAATTCAGATGGTTACCAAGTCAGTTGGTTCCACCTCAGATAGGGTTAATTAATCAAGTCACTATTAAAGTAGTTAGTTAGGATAAAATTCTATATCTAGAATGGATCAAATTTGATTCGATATTTTTTGGTCAAGATTTTTATTCGGCGAAGTTGGAGTCGGCGAAAATAATCGTCGGCGAAAAAATGATTCGGCGAAGCTGTACTAATTCATGTTTCTGGCGATGGGTAAGTGTCACATTGTATACATGTTCGAATCTAATCTTCATCCTTACGTATTTCCATTCTGACTAGTCCATACTCGTCCACTATATAAGGCTACAGCTGGTTGTATACTCGTCCCAGACGCCCTTAATTTTTCATGCATAAACCATTTTCGGACGGGCGACGCGGGCACTCGTCACGACTACTCTTATTAGATTTTACGACTAGTCGTCAATCAGAGTACTAGGACGCGTATGCATGACGGTCAAAACCTCGGACTATTCCCAGACGAGGACTTTTTGAGACAAAGACTAGTCGAGACGGGGCGGCACGACTAGAAAAAAGACTAATCATTTAACCAGTCTTTTGCTCACTTGGGTTCACCATACGTGTGGTCAATAGCAAAGTATGAAAAAATCTGAGCGATAGCGTATACGTCAGCATAAGCATTTAACCTGTTTTCATGTTTTTTTCATAAATTACCGCGTGAAAAATCGTTAGAATTTGATGATTTAACGAAAATAAAATATTACTTTTGGTACTGAAAACGTGTTAAATAATCTTTGACACAAGAAGACGCGTTAATATCGCACTCTTTTAATGCATTTTTGAGATCGATAAAGTAACATTGATTTTTGTGAACGCATTCAATTTGTAACAAATTTCCATGTCAAAAAGTTTCGTTAAATTAGAAAAAAATACATGTAACAATGATAGTTAAAACGAGTGATGTTTGGCAAATATTAAAGTAAGAGCGACAACTGCAGTAAAATCTTCTTAGAGAAAGCACGGTTCGTATTTGTGAGGTGTTCAAGTAGGAAGGCTTTACTGTAATGTAAACCAATTATCTGCACCGAGAATATGATTACAAAAATGAACGCTCTTCCTTATAACTTTTCGTAAGGAAATTTCGACACCATACTGCAGATCTTAAGCAATTATCAATTGTGATAATTTCATACAACATCTTCTTTTATTACAGCACAGACCGTTCGAACACTTCTTCTTCGATGAGTAAAACAAACAAATCTGACGAAGAGCGTGTCACAGTAATTAAGAAGTACGCAGCGCTCGCTTCAATTAAATTTTGCGATCAAGAGCTGCAAGATGACGATATGGAAGTCATTGGAAATGAATTGTCCATTAACTCCGTGTGTAAGGAACTTGTTCTCAAAAATAATGAGATTACATCCGACGGTGTTCGACCTCTGAGTGAAGCGCTTTCACGCAACTCAACATTGGAGGTACTCAATCTCTCTGGGAATCCACTTAAGATGAAAGGTGCTGCTTGCCTCGGCAGTGCATTGTGCCGCAACTCCGTATTAGTCGATCTTCGTTTGGATTCGACGCGTATGGGCGATGAAGGAGCAAGAAAAATAGCTGACATGCTTCGTGCCAATCACACACTCGTCTATGTTGGGCTGAATAACAATCAAATCACAAGTGTTGGTATCGATTTCTTGTCGATAGCGCTTGAAATTAATAATACTCTACAGTCAATTGATATAAGTAGCAATGAGGCGGGTGTTGACGGGGCGAAGTCCCTCGGCAAAATGTTGCTTCACAACAGGAATCTCTGCAAGCTATACGTCGATAGGAATGAAATTGGGGATGTTGGATTCATGTCGATATTCGATGGCTTGAAAAGAAATGCAACTCTCTTCAAATTATCAGTCGGCAACAACAATATCACCGATCGAACTCTAGACACTATCATTAACTTGTTGAAGGTCAGTGGAACATTGACAACAATTGACTTAAGAGGAAATAAACTATCAAAAGTCGCTCAAAACAAAATTCAACAGACAGCTGACCTAACAAAGACATGCAATACGCTGTTTCGCAATAAGTGATCAATATTCTAATTTACCTCTAAACTGCACACTACTGTGATGATTGTCGAAAAACGCTATATCAGCGATTAACCATACGTGCAAAAGATTGTTTCTCTTTCAGATGGACGACTCTATTGGTTGTAAAGGAAAATGCTAAAACACGCCACTCGAAAATTATGGAATGCTAAAGAAAAAGCGTTTTATCTCTTTCTGTCGATAGAGTTTCGTCACTTAAAAAGGTGCTAGAACGCATTAAATGGTGTTTTATTTTTCAGAATAATCGCCATTGCTCTCCACGCAAAAAAAGGCGTGAAAACAGCATTCTATTGTAGCCGAGATTCTATTTTAGTAAAATTAATGCGCAGATAGGATGTGAGGTGTGGGTGTGGACGTGCGCGTGCCCAGGTCGAGCAATCCGACAGTAGGTACCTATCGGAACGCATCTGATCCGACTGGAATCCAATACGATTTTATCGGATTCTGCCAGATCTTACAGAATTATCGTTGGATTCCGGGCCGAGGAATCGATGTTGGATCCTCAGTGTCGGATTCCTATGAATTCCAAGGAAAAACCGTTATATGTCATCGGAAGTTCATAGGATTCCGACATCGATTCCTCGACCCGGAATCCAGTAGAATTGTATCGGATTTTAGAATACTTCCAGGTTCCTATCGGATCCGATGCCGGATCAGTCGACCTGGGTGGCTGAGACTTTTCCTGTATCTTTACACTCACACCCTGTGGGTGCAGATGTGAGTCTGAAACTTCATTTCATCTGCACCCACACTCAAACACCCATACCCGCACTCTACCATTGGATAGCCCAGAATCTGTGCTACAAAATGGTATATGAGACCGTATTGAATCAAATTTATTACTGGAACAACTATCAAAGTACAAAATCCATTGCCATTTTTTCTAAACCATAGACTTTTTTGTTTGGGGTCAAAAGAACATCATCATTAATCGGTCACCAACAAATAAAAATGGATTCTGTAGGCCCGTGAAAAAACTGCGCCTTTTCATATGTTAATCAAATGAAAATCATAAAATGTTTCTAATAAACTTCTTCAAAACAATATTGGCCACTATAGACTTTTTTTCATTGAAAATCGATATTTTTATATACTTTAATAAGTTCTCCGTTGGCTTTGCCTAAGATAATCGTTGGAAAGCTTGAAAATAAATAACATATTCGTGTCCAGCATAAAAAATTGAATAGATAAAAAGATGTTTGAAAAGTTTTTAATAACCTTATAAGGAACCAATAGTGATTGTGATACACATTTACCCATAAATAATGAAGGAATTTATTTAAGGTGCCGGCAATGCGAATTTCAAGTAAAATTTTCTTTTTTTACGATATTCGAAAGGCTTTCAGCTGCTAACCACGAAAATCTAGTTCTTTGCCTTGTGAAATGTTTTTTCGCTCTGAAAAATACCAATTATTTGGCAAGGGCCATTTTTGGTGAAAAACGTACTTTTTCCGAGTATGTGAAAAAAAAATTCTTTTATCCTACTTTTTCTTGCATGAAGTGATTTTTTTCTGACTTCACATCATCAAGTCCATGGAAATATGCTCTTATTTCGTCATCAGACATATAAACATATTAATGATACGATTTCGAATCTCATTCACGCCAACACCGATGCATCAACTTTGTAAACCTATCTAGTTTTTGCAGGTAAACGATAGAATCAAGTACTTCATATCAGTCGATTCAGTGTTTGGGTGTGGGTGAAGTTCACAGTAACATTCACATCTACGCGCACACCCGGACCCACACCCACACCCCACACTTTCGTGATTTGAATGATCAATAAATCAATGCTATTTTTTGATAGATTTCTGAATAAGTTTATGTCTTATTCATCTTTATAATCACGGGATATTCTCTTTTATATAAGATGATCAATTATTTACAAAACAAAGCAATAATCAATTTATTTATTAGTAATTATATAAACGTACAAAGCTAGAAAAACTATCTTCGTTCCATTTCACTTCATTGATCAATTACATCAGCTGCGGCTTTATTTTTGTGTGAAAAGAATCCATTTGCTCGAATAGCCACATACATTTACCAGCTTTATACAATCGAACAGGCCAATATGACCATTTTTGTTTATCATCTAATTTGTCAAAACATCGATCCTGTTCAATATTTTGAAAAAGAATATTTATTGTAGGATAGATATGATTTAAAAAATAAAAATAACACACCCAGCCCCAACTGGTTACTGTGCGATGTTACACCACGACCAAGATCTGTAATAAATTCTTGGTTTTCTCTCGGATCAAGAATAGCGTCGTTCGGCAATTGAAAAGTCGCATCTCGGCTACTGATTTCATCAGCTAAAATAAACAAATATATATATATATATTGTAATATTAACGAAATTTCTGATTCTAATAATAATATAAATTTAGCTTAGACAAAAATAAGAATCGTTTTTTTTCTACGTTTATCATTTATAATATCAAAACCAAACAATCATTCTCAAGATACCGACTGTAGAAAGCAAGTGAAAATGTTTTTAGTTATACCGCTAATACATTGCCATATGAATCAGAATGATCAATTCTTCGCTCTCATCCTGCTATATTGTCCATAGCAAGGAACATATTGAACAAAAGATTTCTTGTTCATTGTTCGACATCAATATGGACAACAATGGAAATATTTTGCGGTGATACACATTGTTGAACACAGTTATAAAAGCTACAATCATTTTTGTTGTCTTCCTCATTCGATGGCATTAATTACACAATTTGTCAGATCTATTTTTCATCGATCTGTTTATCTATCTGTCCTCAGTCGATATTCTTTGGGCATTTACCAATTTAAATAATCGTATTCAAACAATAATCAATGAACGAGGTTTCTTTCAGCACATCAATTTATCATCAGCACGTCTATTAAAATTCAATACGCTTCTTACTACACTTTGATTGAATCAAATTGAAACACTCATCATTGACATAGAAGCATCATTTTGGATGTGAGTGTGCGGATATGGGTATCGGTTTTACTAGAAAATGATTTACGCGCACCCACACCCACCCTTAATTAGATTAAAGAACTGCGAATAATTACAGTCGGATGTTATGTATATGGAATAGAAAATAGTGTTCAATCACATTATGAATCGTCAATGAGTTACTTCTATAGAGGAAAACATGAGTTGATAAAAACAATGTCATTTAATGAATTCTCTCCAATATTCTCATTCAAAAATTTTCTTTTTAGATGGGCTTTATGGGTCATATTGGGTATCCTAGAGACCGTTTTCCAATACTTGTGAAAAATATTTTGCCACATTTGAATGCACTTTGTTCGCTCGATTTGGGTCAAGATACTGGATTCGGCCTCACAAATTGGTACGTTACTACAATACAATGTCCTCTCAAGTATCTTCGTGTGCCGATGGAACACATTCCACATTTATGCCATGTTATGATAAGAGAGACACTTTCAAGTACATCAGAACAATTCCATGTAACAGTGCGCAGTCAATATATGGAAAGAAAAAATAGTTTACCTACAGGATTAGTGTTATCTGAAATGATAAATTTGCATGCATTCACTTTGGTTGAATCAATATTCTACAGAAGTAGGAGAATTGAATGGTCAACTATTGAATCACTTACCGCTCCGAATGTGATGCTCGTACTTCGACGAATGAAGTTGGTTATTTTCATAACTGTCAATGATTTCGATTGCACCAATAGATCATCACTTTTCATGGATGATCGTCGAATCGATATTTAATTCGCTTTCATTATAGATGATACTTGTTTAGGTAATGAACTGAGTCATTATGTACCACATTTGATAGTCGTCTTCATCCATGACAAATAGTTGGTGTAACTTGTGTTATAAGTTGCTTGTCCCCAACTTATCAACAATTTACAAATACCCATTGCTATCTGAGTAATTGAATTATTACACAATTTTTATTTGACAACATCCTGATGAGAACTTAACAAATTATCAAAATGTTTAAATTTTCGATTTCCCCCCAATCTGTTGATGCAATAATCTTTCTTTATTCTAGTTCGATCGTTACCCATTGGTTTACGATGTTTGGCGCACTTTACCATGGGCATTGGGCCAATTCTTCGACTCCGTTGAACCGATTCAATATATAACTACAGTAGAAGTATTTTCTCTGTCTCCTTCGTACTCATCCATTATTAGTTCATCTCGACTCCGTACACTTAGTATATCAAAAAATGATTCATTACCATCGGTTATTTCAGTGCGTCATGTTGTGCAACTAGATCATATTAACATAGTCCATTTATCATTTCATGATTGGCCAGTTGGTTTAAATCTTCTGGCTATTCGTCGTATTTTACATTGACAAAGAATCTCGTTGCATTGAAAAACTTCTCCTATTTTCCATCTAATATTCGGTCTATTTCAATTCTATTTTGTGTTAATACGCCGAATTTTGTGTCAAGCAATTGATCTACATTGCGTTCGCTTTCAGCTTATATTGATGATCAACTCAGTACATATCGTTGTCAATGACATAAATTCAGGTCTTGATGATAATAGCTGTCAGATTTTTGCAGAAACAGTATCAATGTTGCTAATGATTTTACTAGTCCTATTATTTACGACGAAGATGTAGCTTGTGGCGATGATGAAGACGGTGATTTAGCTTTTTTGAAATTGATATTTGATGTTTACCGGGCGTCTATCAAAGAACTAAATCGTCCTATTTTATGTTTACTATTTCATATGAAACCTCTGATTGTTTTTAAGAGGGAGGTTGTGAGCTAACTGTTAGGTTATGATTTTCAAAAAAATAAAATAATAATTAATAAATAGTCAAATCTATAGAATATTCCCAAACTTGAGAATAGAACGATTCTTAACGTGTTCAACAGTAGATTGAGATGTAGACTGCAGCATGGCTAGAGGATAGAAGTGTTGATGTGTGTTTGATAAAAGTTAGGTATGGAAAAATAGTGACAGATGTGTACTTCTCTTCTATGCTCGAGTGCTGAAGACGAATCAATAATAAAAAAGCGTAGCAGTAAAACATTTCATTTCTCTATTTCAATTGATTTTCTATACTATTGTTCAAATTCTGATTTAAATAACTAAATACAAAAACTAGACTGAGCGATTAGTAAATTTACATAATTAAGTTAAACAGATAAGTTTCGAGGCTTATCTTTTATAAAATTTTGATGCGGCATACAGTTTATACATGAAATTTCTTTAATAATTATCTTTGATGCTTTACAATATCAAGGGCTTCATCCATTGTAGCAAGGAACAATAAATAAACTTGAACATCTAGTGAAGTACTGTTAAAGCATTTTCTTTTCTATCCTTAATACTGCTTGATAGATTCATATATATTATTATAACGATGAGTTTTTCTTCCTGAAATTTTCTTGTTCTTTCCTAGACTTGAAGACCACATTCTTCCCGGTTTCATCTTTCTCGTCTGCATATGAGCCGATCCATGTAAGCGCTGCTCAAACGAGGTCGTTCAATTCTGCTCAATTTAATACAAGTTGTAGAGAGAGAGAGAGCAGTACTGAGAATTTTCAAGAAAGTCATTTTGAAAAATATTGAAAACTTGATTTTTGATGAGCATTGTACGAAAAGTTTTGGGAATGACCACTTTCATCGCTAGGAGTCTTCATATCTTTATGAGTTCTGCCTACCGTAAAATTGTCGTCTCTAAATATTGAGTACTTGGAATTTCATGATTCGTTCGATAGAGACGAAGATGAGCAATTTTGCTAACTCTGCTCCTATATAACGTTTGATTTAAATGCGATGGATGCATGCAATTTTCACGGTAGATATAAAATTCATAGATTTATGTTTTCTAGAAATTTCAGCTACCTATTATCTTCTATTCGGTCACAGGACGCTGCTAAAAAATTATTTTTTTTTGAAAATATGAATTTTTTCCTAAGATATGGATCACCTGAGAATTTGGTATCTGCAAGTTGATAGTGCTATCTCTGACCTACAACCTAATAAAAAAATCAGCGTGAGGTCTGTATAAATGATCTGTACAGAAGGTCATTTTTGGTAGGGGTGTATGAAACATTTCGCAAAAGTTACGATTAGTTTTCCCCAGAAATCACTCACTAGATCATAACCGATTTTCAGAGCCTTATATTTGTTATAGAGTAAATTTTTCCATGAATTTATATGCAAGCCGCTTGAAAAATTATAATACCATTCTTGAAATATTCAATGTATTTCCTAGGTCATTTTAGTCCCAAAAATCACTTTTTTTGAATTTTTCGACATCGATATCTCATGAAGGGTATTACATCTGTTTTCGTTCAAATTTTCTAAAAGAAACGAACTTTAAAATATGAAAGATTTATGATTTGGTGTCCACTGAACTAGGAATCTGAATTTTCGCCAGGTGGATACGCACGGTAGCCCATTCTTTTTTCCTTCTTTTACCTCTGTCTGCCATTTTCTCTCTCGTGTTGTTCTCCAATTAATCAGTGAAGAATGAACCAACAAGCAAATAAGTAAACAATTTATTTATCGACTCTTCTCTAGGAGAAAGACAATATTTCCACATGGGCACATGCAAGAAAAAGAGCGAGAAAAAAGACGCGTTTGTGAAAGGAACGAATATCAATGATATGCCGCGTCGGTCATACTTGTTTGTGTTTTTCACACTCATGCTTTTGTCACTTGTCATGTTGTTTCGTGAGAAATACACGCACTCAGTATCTCTATTCTGTTTGTTCCACTCGATCTCTGATGTTGCAATTTACTCGACGACTAAACTCAATATTTGTTTGTTCATCGTTCTTCTGATCTAGAGTTAAAAACGAAAATACAGTCTTGCGTATAATGGTTGTCGATACGCGAACTAAATGTTTGAACCAAGAGCGTAGGAAGTCGCTGCAACTGTGCCTCAAAGTGAGTTCAAACTACGATCGCAATTTTGGAACACAATTAATATAAGTATCGCGCTTCCGGCGCGATTCTCTTTTCGATCAACCTACAAGGAAGACGTTGCTGGGAATGATTTTCTTGTTCATTCATTAATTTCTACGTACTTCAGACAGTTTTTAGCTCACACGTCAGTGTAATTGCGCGTAATTACGCTGTAATGCATTGATTATGTACAATTATGAAACTGCGTTCCTAGCACAACCATAATTGCGTCGTAATTCAAGGGTAATCAAACACGTGGGCTTCAAGTACGAATAACATCCATCATCGTAATATTTTTCATGAGATGTTATCATCTCAATATGTGCCCTGAAGTCTCTGAAATTCTTTCACACATTAAAAGAATTGTTAAACCAGCCAAGAAAACTCTTAACGGAAAAAAATTTGGATACATTTCAATGATTTGTATTTTAGATAACAATAACGTAGACGAATATAATCGATTTACGATGTTAAAGAGTATTCAAACTAGTCTTCCAACAAATCTGCGAAATACAATGGATCCAAAATTCATTTTCGTACTATTTTTTGTTGAGGTTGGTTCATTAATTTTCAATAGTCTTCATATAGCAGCTTCAGAACTTCATGTTCACAATGCATACAATCAATTACCTGTTATCTATCATATATCCGCAAATTCTTATTCTTGTTTTTCGTCCATCAATTATTGTATTTATGAACAAAAACAGCTGCGTTTTTTGAAATTTCTTGATCTGATGTTTATTTCAATTATCGTTATATGTTACGGTTGCTTATTCACCATTATCATTTGTCAATGGGGAAATATTAAAATTCGTCCCAATTTAAAGATTACATGGTATTCGGCATTAGAATTATTCGTTTTACTTGTACTTGCTCTCCATACACTTCTTATGATTATTCTTTTCGAACGCGATACTGCGAATACTAATCAATGCAACAAACAAAATGGTCTAGTACGTGTCGAAAATCTTTTTAACTACTTCGTTCTTAGTATACTCGAAGTAGCTTATATCTGCTTTGATCTGGTGAATCGACAAATGTCATCGATTCCTATTCCGCATCCAGATTTTGAATATGGTGCTCAAACAGCCGAACGTATTCGTCTTCCATCCTCGGAAAATAATCATCATGTTATTAGAACCTGGAACTAATTGAAAATCTATTCATTGTATATCGAATTCGTTTCATTTGATGATTTATTTGAATTTTCTGTGTATTCAAAATTGTTTTCACGGATTTCGTGGAATCTAAGAGACCAATACGTCCATTATCTTATTTCAAAACTTTTTGTGAGAAATATTCGAACTTTCGAGAAATTCAAATAGATCATTTCCTCGTTCTTTATAATTGTTTCATTATCTATCGGAAATATTGCGACTAGTAATACATGATTTCTCTTTGTATTCAAATTTTCAAAAATAGATTTTGAATAAACAACGTTTTTAATAATCAAAACGAACAAACTCCTTCATGTGCCGTTGTCTTGCATGTGCTCTGAGAAACTCTTTCGAAGTGTGCCATCGTCGCCGAGTCGATATGATCAAGAAGAATCGCTCGTCAAATTTGAACAAATCAAGTAATATTGGATCATCGTACTCGCTAAGTTCTATTTGACCAATGCACTTGAAAGATGTTGGGTCAGAGACATTGAAATTGATCACATTCGGAAACGCGCTGCCAAAGCTGTGGAGCCATTATGTGATGTATGGAAGTGAATCGACAATGTGATCGAAGCAAACAGCTCCACGCGATGACTAATAGTCACTCGATCAGTTTCTCTCAAGAGTCCATCACATTTAGATAATGTTAAAAAATCAAATTTCACAGACATCTTTGCGTATATACTCTATTGACAAACTGAAATGATTTGTAACCAATGGATATGTTCTCCTTTCCGTTGAAAGTAAAGTGAAATTTGAAATTGTCTAATTTGGCATACACGTTAATAACCCGTTTCTCTATCTTTGAGTGGGTCAGGATGACGACGAATGAAAACAAATCATATCGCGATTCGACCTTTTTCTATTGAATGCAATGATAGGCTTGTTTTTCATTTTTATTGATGTCTGAAAAATCTCTATCAAGACTATCTGCCTTCTTTTGTTCGTCTTGTTATTGCTCGTGTTTGATGTGTGGACGGCAATTCGTTGGTACATTTCCAAATAATATTCGAAAATGAATGCTGATTTCAGAAAATTGTCTTACTCAACAAAGTTCATTTCGTGGTGCGAATGGGTGGGAGTGTGAGTATCAGTACGGGTATAACCGAATCCAGGCAGTAACTGAGTCGAACTGCTCGGGTTCGGTGCGTACCTAATCTGAAGCTTATGAGAATAAAACAAAATGACACATAAACAACGTTGATTTTTCTATTTTTTTGTTACATGAACATTTTTATTAGGCTTTATCATTTTTGTTTGTTGAACAGTATCATTTCCTGTTGAAAATAAAATAATAGAAGATGAATTGATTTTTTTAAATGAGAGAATTCGATACAAATAAACGATAATGTATTAGTTTAAAATGGATATATCGACTTCAAAAGGTATATTTTTTTTATGTAAAAAAATCGTTTAATGCTCTAGGATGCAAAAATATTCTTGCTCATTTACTGACTTCTATTCTTGACCTATTGAGGGTGTGGATGTGAGTCCCAACTTTAATTCACGCCCACACCCTCAAGATAGTTGGAATAGCCATTTTAGACCTACCGCTTCCCTATGTCATTTAGTTAGAAAATTGAGCCTATCCTAGAGGGAAACCGTTCCGCCGTCTATGCACATATTCCGTCGAAATAATTTCTACTTAGGGTTGATTTCATTGATCACCCATATGTTCATTGGTTTCGATTTTACTCCATCCTAGCAAAGCATCCCATGAGATCAATATATTAAAAAGTATTCTCTACATATAGATTGTTCGGTTTTTGATAGATACACACACACTCCAACCAATATAACAAAATCTCATTCTTCCCTTGTGTTTATTATATACAAAGTATTTTGACATCTATGCGATAACTACGTGTTATACATAAAAAAATGCGTACTAATGCAAAAAGTCTTACATCCTATCCTAAAAAGAAATTCATGTTTGATTGATTGAAATAAACAAGCGTATGTTGGAAAAAGGAAAAATGCCAACAACTATAAATAATAAGGGAAATCGTTTGCAAACTTACACTGCAAAGTATACGTATTCTAATATCACTCAGTAAATAGGTGTATTGGTGAAGACGAGAGAATGTTGGCGTTAATGTATGTGACTATGTGTAAATTTTGATCTTCTCGTCAGTGACACCCACACCCATGCACTAAGTATAACAATGTTATTTAAAGAATTATGTCTGGTATATATCGCTATCGGATTGGCATTAGTAGAATATGATAAAAGACGCAAAATAGATATAATTAATCGATTTAATGAAATTGAAAAGGCTGTTGAAGAATTTAAAGAAACAGCTGTAAATCAAAGAATCAGCATGTTTGGGAGATATGTTTACGAGGATGTTGAATATACTGATAAATTAAGAGATGATATGAAACTTCTATCAATACATATGCCAGAATTCATGACTCCGATGCAGGAAAGATTAATGCATACAAAAGACAAACAATTCAATAAAGCGATTAAAAATCAATTTTTTATTTTATTGCAAACATTATAAACCTTTTAATTTTGGTTAACAAATTTATTAACTTGATATAATCTCGATTTAACATCCATGTTTGTTTTTATCTTTGTGTGTGGGTATCTGTTAAGGCACATCCATCGACCACACCCATACCCTCAAGTTCATGTATATCTTCTCAGTTTTCTCGATAATCTCTCATATTTACTTTCAATTATAATTTTTGATTCATCAGAACTGAAATCTTCCAATTATTCGATTAACTTTAATCATCAACATTTTCGCGAAGACATACAATTTCTACAGAATTAGATAATAATTAAGCATAGAAAAGATGGACAATACATAAATGTGTCACCCATTGATTGTGTAAATAACATATTTTTCCTTGAATAAATTCATGTCATCAAACATTTCGTTTATTATTCGAAAGAATACGAATAAGCATAGAATTTTTTCGATTCCTCATAAAAAAAGCAAAGATAAATATTTCTATTTTTTTTAAGTTAATTATTCAGTTTGCTGTAAAAATTCTGAATAGACCCTGGTTGTATAAAGAAAAAAAATCATCCTTATTTTATGACAGTATATATTTTTTTCTTGACCTTTTTCTTGCCATTCAAGAAAGAATTCTTTCTATGGTCCATTGAGAATTTCTCAGTCAATATCATTGTGTGAATTTCGAACGGATAACAACGAGCTCTTTTAATCTCTTTTTTATGCATCATCTTTATTGATTTAATGTCATAATGATGAAAACGAAAAAATCCTTTTGATAAATATTATTTCAAATGTATACCTATCTTTCGAACCGAGTTCACGATCAATGTTTTATGTTTTCTTGATTGTGTGAAGCCAGAAAGGAAACGACAACAATAATTATAGTATAAGAAAAAATGATTTAGTGCGACTAACAACAGACATAATTTGATTTAATAGAGAATATTCAAATTAGGCTAATTTTCAATCGACTAGGTCACAGAGTCTTAACGAAACTATGTAGACTGACAAAATAATCATTTTCGATGACAACATGAAATACTAATGGGACTTGAAACATAAATCGTGTCAATGCACGTAGCGAGCGAAGAATGTCAACTGCAATCTATGTATTCCGTTGATTATTGATATATTCAATACCATTGACAAGATCGACCTTGCTTATAAACCTAAAGAATTTAAATGTTTAATTAATTTACATTAATAATTTCTTCCTATTTATTTTACTGAATAGAACACCTGTCTCTTGAGCCAGTTATCTAAATATTTTTGTTTTATTAAACCAAAATTGTACTTGACCATGATGTACTTCGGTAATTAAGTCTTGTCATATTTTTCTACAATTTCTCATCATTTGAATATTCTGTAGCTAGTCTTATCAGTGTCAAGAAAAAAATCGAGATTACCTAGAACAATTTTGAAGCCGTTAGGAAATTATGAAAACTTTGTTACATGACAATAATGATGAATAAACAATGTAGGCGGAGATAAATAGTAGATATGGCCTTTTTTCCTAGTGATGCTCATCCGTACTTAATATGGCTTTTATCTCTATTGAAATTAAATCAACCATTGGAAGTTTTTCACTTCTGGTACATTGGTCTCCAACATCTTTCACAATTAACAACTGAAAACTTAATATTTCACAGAAAAAATGCCACTCTTAAAGTATTCACAATGCTTTAATGAACTTGGTCTTCATGCTTACCAATGGAGACATTCAAAAAATGAATTGTTCTACTGCCGGATGTATTTTGTCTTTTCTCTTGAACATTGATGGTGACAATAATACGTGATGCATGCATTCTGTTGTGTTTCATGAAAAAAAAAACAATATCAACTGCAGTTACGGTTTCATTACCGCAGTAAACTCCATCTTTTTTGTAATTATATCCGACTAAACTAAGAACTGACAGAATCAATGAGTCAGCAGATTAATGTAAATAGAAAAAAAAAATCTATCAGATGTATTTATGATTAAGCATTTCTTTTTGAATTATTTTATTGTCACTTCAAATTCTGTTAAAATTTGCTATTTCAATAAATCCATCTCGTGAAAAAAGTCGTAAAAATACTCTTCGACATGTTTTTTTTTGCTTTCTTTTATTTATATTTCCTACGACAAATAGCGACATCATCATCAATTGATTTGTCATCTTTTACAGTCAATAAAAAAATTTGCCATTTCCATTGTTATAATTACATGTCCCTTTTTTCTTCCTCCTCCTTTCATTCTCTTTGCTTACTCGTTTATAACTCTATGTGTTTTTTTCTTCCATAGTATCCAGGAATAATTATATATATATATACATATATATATATGTTTTTAATACATGAAATAATATCAGTCAATTATACGTGATGTAATCAAACTATGATGGCAGCATCAAATAAGAAATCATCAACATCACATGATGCTAGTACAGATACTGATGATGATATACGATATGATTCTGATTCTCCAAAAGATGAAGCCAATAACCCTAATGACATATCATCCTCAACAAATTTATCTTCGAAACATCGAGGGTAATATTAATAAGAAAATTCAAAATAGCAGTTTAAAAATAAAAAAAATGAACTTTTTCTAGCACCAAACGTTTAAGTAATAAAATGAAACCTTGTCTTGTACATAGAACGTCAACAAGTGATGAAGAATTACAAAATCATTTTATAGCACGCATCAATGAACAGCCAACACATGGCATCCTCAAAGTTCCTAGTGGTACGAAAAACACAACCCACACTGACATGATTTTGTCTTCTATCTCATAAGTATAATTTCTTTTTCTTTGTCTAGGCTCAACAAGTCCTGAATTACAAATTCCACAGCATCCTATGNGGTATTACACTCTATTTAACTCTTCAAATCATAAATCGCATCGATTACATATAAAGCGCACGCTTAAATACTCAACCATTTGAGAGAACGAAGAAGAAGGATAGATCAAGACAAATGTAAAGGACAGAAAAATAAAGGCAATAGGTGTGGTGAGAATAAATGGCACCATAAGACCAAATCTTATGTATAGATTACACTCGAACGAGAGTATTACACCCTCGGAGAGAATTTGGACGCTCTCTGCATATAATCGTTACCGTAACGTGAATCAAAAATCGATTCACTGGGCCTTGAACTGACAGAATTCATACATACAAATATAGGAACAGCCCACTTCGTCGATTGTTTACTCCAAAGATCCTGAGATTTCCAAAAAGCTGGCTGAATAAATTCAACCGAGACATGGAAGCTGGAGGGCGAATAAGAAAAAGTGGGGTGCCGGTGAGCCGAAAGTGAGAAATTTCCAAGAACTATGAATAAGAACGCAGCGAAAATGAAGGCAAAAGACAGGTGCGAAACAGTGCCTGAACTCCGATTTTGTTTCTGATGTGGGGAGGGGGGAAGCTCACAGCCACCTACCTAACACGGCACACTGTTAACAATTCCTACGAGGGGGCCTAAATATCTTTAAGCAGCGGGAAGGGTTGACTTTCACCTAAGTACTGAGTCACAGCGTTTAAAAATTTAACCAAGGAGGGACCAAAGTTCCTTATGGGAATTCCAGCTGCCCGTTCACTTGATCCGTCATTAGAACTGACTCCTCTGCGTGCACTCTCCATGGGTCCGCCAGTAAAATGTGTCCTGAGAATGGCCATTTGTGCCATACAAATGGTCTTTTTTACCACAGAAATGATCATTTGTGCCAGTGTTACGGACAGACAGAGAGACACAGGTGAATTACGGTTTCCAGATCCTATACTTTTAGTCTAGGGAACATACGGCCGTATTACTGCACCTGCTATACAGGGAAAATATGGCACGTAAAACGGGCCGAATTTGTATCGTATACGACCGTTTACTGATCGTTTTCTTTGACCGGGGATGTGTTAATGTCATACCCAGGACGATGTTTCCGGCCTCCAGAAATGAGCGGACTTCATTGGAACCGGCCAGAAACATACTGGAAACGCACTGGAACGTGCAGGAAAACGCCGGATATCACTGGACCCTAGAAGCCGTATTCCGGACGGATTTCTCCGGATTTGCCCGGTGATTTCCGATGATTTCCGACGGGAACCAACAGGAACTTGGCGGAACTTACAGGAAAAATCCAGAGATTTCCCGGTCCGGAATACTGCTTCCGTGAAATCATGGGAATGCGCGGGAACCGGTCGTTTCCCGGGCCGGTTGGTTGGACCTGGGTATACACAAGGATGTAAACTGAATTACGTCACTGCGATATGTTTATTGGCTCCTCTATGATTTATAAGTGGAGGTCCGACGGTTTCTATAACCACCTATTAAATCTAGTCCTTCATGAGTGACGTACTTCTTGGCACGGATATTATATTATCGAGTAGTATTTTTATCTTTAAACTTGAGTATCAGATTTTGCTTCTTTTCCTATGAAGAAAATATTTGTTATTAGAATTGTATTTTGGGTTCTCTTAAATCTAAATAGAACATTTCTTACTTCTGTGTTCTAGAATATATTTTATTAAATTCTATATAAATTATTCTATGATATTACCAGGAATATTAACTAGAAACGAAAACATAAGAATCAAAGGAGATCTCTGTCTCTCTGCTGGAGTCATAGTATTATTAGAAAAGAAGACATGGAAAGTAGTTTGAAAAGAGCTAATCTCTCTTGAGTATACTCTTAGATAAGTTTCTTTTTTCATGGATACTTCAAGAAAAGAGAGAGAGAGATAAGAGATAGTGAAGAGAGAAGGGAAAGACTCTCCCCCTCACCAACACTTTCTCTCACTCTGTCTCTCTGTGTAGACATGAGTTCACTACAATTGGATCTCAAAATTTATCGAATCAATCAGAAATGAAAGGAATATTAAAAACGACGGCTCCACAACGATTTATATAAATTTTGTTATTTTCAGAAAGATGCGTCAATTTATTACATTATTCCCATTGAATCATTTAACACCAAAATGAGATCGAACTGTTCTTACAGATTTGATCGAATATTTCTTTATTATTATAATCTATAAATAAAATTTTGTTTTGTTGTGGAAATATTTATTGATCATTTTGAGCGCGTGTATCAGTCGATTTGATCGACTTTTTCTTGATGTTATTATTAATGTATAATTTGATTTACTGATGAGCAAACTAATTTACTTAGACTTGCCGGTAAAAACGTCTTCCTCAAAACATCTTCATCTACTATTTTACAGAGGCAATTTAAAAGAGATGTAACCAAAAGTTTTGCTCAACTAAATGTATTTCAACAATGATGTCATATGTTCTTTCAAAAACGTCATTGATAGTTGATGAACAGAAAAAGTAAATTTATGTATAATGTTTAATATTTCAAGAGAAAAGTTGCTGTTCGAAATAGCAATGTATTACTATAATTATGTAGGATATTAATCCTAATAACAAATGGCATGATAGTTCAAACAAATCGGAAAAACAATTTAGATGTTCTACTGTAACTGTTTCAAACTACACTATGTGGGTGTGGGTGTATATGAATGAAGAGCGCCCACACCCACATCTACACCCACACCCTTGTAAATACTTTTTCAAATCGTCATTTCTTCGGACCATTCTCATTCTAATGCATACTTTTGAAATAAGCTTAAAACAAACATTCAATGCCCTCATGTCTCCATCATTTAAAAAAACAAAGACAAAATTTTAATATTTCTATCGCAACAGTATTTTTTATATGAAAAAAATTCAGAAAATGATATTTTGACCTAAACTGAGTTCTTCTCTTGAAAGATATCAAACAACACTACTGTGGCGTGCTCTTTTACTTTTATGATGAAGTATGCGAGTCATTTCTATATTTCGCGTCTAAGTAACACATATCAAATTGATTCATGAAATAAGACTTACATTTTGATTTTGTTTGTGGTTGTAATTGCATTGCTGCGAATTGTCCTCCCATAGCCACAGCAATTGGTGTATTTTTCTTGGGTTGCACTGATGAATTAGACACTGGAACTGGTTCAAGAAGATCGTATTGTGGTTTTATTTCTTTGAGTTGCACAATATGAAGTCCATTTCCGGAATCAAGACAAGAT